TCGACTTGGCTAAGGCATTCGACACCGTTTGGCATCGTGGCTTACTTGCCAAGTTGGAGGTCACCTTCCGGGTGGAGGATGCTGCCTTGCGTTGGATATCCTCGTATCTGTCTGCTCGTTCTCAGGCTGTTCGCTTGTCCTATTTCTTGTCTGACCCCCTCCCTGTATCGTCTGGAGTGCCCCAAGGTTCCATTCTGGGTCCTTTGTTATTCTTGCTTTACGTTAATGACCTACCTTCAGTTGTCCCCGATGTTAGTTTGTATGCGGATGACACTGGCCTTATCTGTTCTGATTCCTCCCCTGCAAAATTACTCCTTACCATGCAGCATCGCATCAACAGCACTGTCATGTGGATGCAAACGTGGAAACTCCAGCCCAATTTAGACAAGACAGAAGCCATGTACATTTCTTCATCCCCTCCTGATCAACCATTATACTTCCCTGACTCGACTATGCCTATCCGTGTTGTTACTCAGCACAAACATCTAGGTGTGATGTTTGACTGCAAACTCTCTTGGGCTGCACATGTCAACTGTGTATGCAAGCGAACCAGTTCAGCATTAGGGGTACTACAACCACATTGCACTCATTTGCCCATCCAGTGCAAACTATTATTTTATCAGTGCTATATTCTCCCTATATTCGACTATTGCGATACCGCTTGGTGTGGCCTTTATGACACAACTCTGTCCACCATAGATTTATACTTAAAATTCTTTACAACAAGGATCGATGTTTTCCTTCGGATGCCCTTTATCGACTTGCACACACTTCTCCTCTCTCCGTTCGTCATAAGCACCATCTCTGTACACTGGTTCATAAAATATTTCTTCATAAAACCCCTTCACACATGATGAAGTACAATTGGTTTTCGACAAGCTCAACCCGTAACGCGCTCAGCCTGCCTCTTGTTAAGTCAGCCCAGTATCTAAAGTCCCCTTTGTTTTCCGGCTACTCTCATTGGTTATCATTACCATACGGTCTGAAAACTTGTTCTTCTATTGGTCAGTTTAAAGATCTACTATCACAACTGAACTAGACGAAATAATTATCATCGAAGAACATTCTCGAATACCTGGGTGATGCACGAATTTTGATAGTGCTCGCTTCCGTTAATCGTTTTTCTTTGTAATTTTCCATTCATTTTCTGCTTTAATTCATATTTGCTTTGTTTTCCTAGCTTACTATTGCCGTGGCTGGCTCAACGCCCTTGTCTCAGGGGATCCTGTCCCTGCATTAGCTATGCTTGTCACATGCTATGAGATTGTGTCTAATAATAATAATTGACTGACCCAAGGCAGATGTCTGTAGCACCAGACACGAACACAGGGAAGTCCACTCCGCAATCGTAAGGAAGCACCATTTCTTGAACAATACGCAGTTTATCAGGGAATTCACCAATCACGATTTGAGCTTGAGTTCAGCTTGGGTAGTGCTTTCGAAAAATCTACTCTTCGAGAGCCAACTTACTTTGACGCTACGTTTCCAGCGCGACAAATACTTCCACATCAACTTCCAACAGCAGCCGAGTGTAAAGTCTTTTTTTTAATAGATAGCAATACAGTGCTTATGCGGAAAGTAAGCTGCCCAATTGGGCAAACATACTATTGTAGGTAAAGGGGCAAGCAGAAGCAGCATTCGGCTCGAGAGCGCAGTTATGGTTTAGCGATGGATGAAACTTTTTCTTTTGTGGATCTCCAAGAAAAATCGCTTTAATAATTATGTTGGACAGTTCGATGCTCCCAATATGTAATGGATTGTTCTTAATTATATGTTGGACTCAGTAGAGCGTCCAGCCCCTATATGATATCCAACCCCTATATAGAGTCCATTGGTCCAAAATCCACTGTACTGAGTCCAAACTTGGAATCAACTGTGAGCTCAAAGTTTAGATGGACATCACTCCCTGTATAGAGTCCAGCCAATTGGCTTCACCCCTATATAGAGTCCATTGGTCCAAAATCAACTCTACGGAGTCCAAACTTTGAAATCAACTATAAAGATTAAAGAGTCTTATGTGGACAACACTCCCTGTATAAAGTCCAGCCAATTAGGCATCCCCTATCGAGTTCGAAATTAGACATAGGATCTGCTGTAAGCAGTGAATATTAACCAGAAAACGGCCTCTCCCTTTAATCATTTACATCATTCACTTCTCAAGGTAAAAAATATGTATTGAGGCGCCACTGCAGCCACTTCATTACATGAAAAAGCCTACAAACACCAGCCTCAAATCAAGTGGTCTCTTCGCAGACGCTGCAAATTACAATATCTCAATCATGTAGTGTTGCCAAATAATTGTGCACGCACACACACACATGCACACACCCACACAACGCCAAGAAAATACCTAGAAAAAAAACAAGAATCGAAAGAGAATAATGGAGAGCCCAGGATTAATTATTTGTTTTCAAATTATTGCGCGCGCACACACACACACACACACACACACAAACTTATACAACGCCAAGAAAACACTAAGAAAAGAGTAGAGACACAATGCACACGCAACTCCAACAGCCATGCAAACGTCCACCCATTTACAAGTAAAGTCAAGAGGGATAACAAATAATTATACGAAACTAATGCATACAGGGACGGGTACACGCACGTTTACATACATGTAGTAGTGTAAGAGAGTAACATAGTGCAGTAGTCAGCATAATACTAGCACATGCTGAGAGTGCAATAGCAAGCTTCACCATTGCTCATGGCCATGCAAATGTTCAGCAGCACTCAGTTCCGCAAGCTTCTGAAGATCAGCACACCTGCAACAAATAGATAGCACAAGGATACGCTTATTACCGTAATGATGCATGGGAGCACACAACTACCAAGTTCTCAACAAATGTGATGCTCAATGAAAATCAATCCACTCAAAGACCTGTGAACAGGTGACGGTGGGGACAATAATCTATTAGTAATACGAGGAATAAGATCGTTTGTGCACACTCAAGACGCACAGACACATCACCATACATGTAGTGTACACAGTGTTTCACTTCACTGCAACTAAATTGAAATGAGATGATTTGAACAATCTGTACAGCGTTGCCGTCAGTCAGTCTTCCCCAAGATGGAAATACAATGATTTGTTGTCACGAGGCAGTTTCACTGACACAATGTCATGTTCGTGACATCAAAACGGTTACTTCAGGGAATACGAGTATTAGCTTGAGAAGCTTTTTCTTGTCATTGGCATACAAGCAATCCTCCTACTACTACTAGTACACTGGCACTGCGTTTGTGGATCCCATTGTATTTTGACATCATACTAGAGGAAGAGTGTCGTGGAGTTTCACATAATTATCACAGGGATAAAAATACATTTCTCATGAAATAATTATAATAATTGATGATAGCTAGACGATCGTATACGATTGATGCAAAGTCCTTGCAGTCCTTGAGGACTATTACGAAGAGGTTGATTTCTTTTAGGGCATTCATTCAAGCAACATCAAACAAACGCGATACGCTCCTTGAAAATGGAAAAAAATTCAAGCATAACGACAGAACAGCAGACCAATCGAAACGAGTAAAAGCATCCTTACCTCAGTCATCGTCCTGCCATGTAGTTGGACAGCCTTTTGACACGGTGGGACAGGCAGCTCTTGTCCAGTCAAACAGGGGTATCCTTGTGGCGTCGAACGAAAGAGAGTGTCAGTGTACTATCTGACTCGTCAGATTGGAACTGTGCTGAACTTTTCTCTTTCTCCGGTTTCTGCTTTCATCCCTCGCTCTGATGAAACCGTTCAAACGTCTTACTGGCAGCAATGGCCAGCCAAACAGGGGATCCTTGTGGCGTCGAACGAAAGAGAGTGTCAGTGTACCTGACTCGTCAGATTTGAACTGTGCTGAACTTTTCTCGTTCTGCAATTTCTGCTTTCACCCCGCACACTGATGAGACGTCTTCAGAGAACCACGAGACGCTTTCCAGATTTGATTTTGAACGTCTCCTTATCCTCCTTGGTTACCTCGTGACAGATTACTGTCAGCAACTTCACAGCAGAACCGGCAGCCATGGCTGAAGCGAAGAAAGGAATGCGCTGCCACGAGGCAAGCAAAACTGAAAAGGTGTTTGTTCTTTTTCGGGCACAACACACAGGACGGCGTGACTGGATAAACTGGACTCCTGGACTGTGAATAGGGGACTGGTAGAAAAAGTGTACTCCTTATAGGGGATTGCGCGGCAGGTTGAAGCTGATCAAAACTGAGTGGACTCCTGGACTCTGTATACATGTAGTGGATTTTGGACCAATGGACTCTATATAGGGTGCTGGACATCATATAGTGCATGGACTCTATACTGAGTCCTACATATATTTTCGCAATTTTACCTTCTTCTATTTGGTGACCGGCAGTGAGATCGTGTGCGACCCTTTCCCCACCAGGAAATGGTTTGATTGTTAGCAGCTCTACGTTGCCATACGGAATCACAGTATTTGCATGCAACGATGGCTATCTAATTACTGGAAACAGGGCAACTGTATGACTGGAAAATGGCACTTGGTCAAGCACAGCGCCAAGATGCACAAGTAAGGTTTTTATACGATGGACACATCGACTGCATTTCACTTCCATAATGAGTTCTGTAAAATAACATGCCAACCGTTTTAATTTGACATGTATACTAAAATTATTGTGAAAAGAAGAAGGGCAAAATGTTACGAGTTATGACTAACGTTGGTGGACAGTTAGTCATAACTCGTAACATTTTGTCCTTCTGTTCACAATCATTTAATTGCCTCACCATCCGAGTTACATTTTGTATACTAAAATACAACGATAATTTATCACTGAAGACCGGAGGGTCTACTCAGTGGGCTGACAATGCTCAACACCGCGGAGGAAGAGCGTATTACACACCAGAACAACATGTTGTTCTGTTCTATGTCACTGAACATGTATGACTGTCTCCGCAGAATTATTTTTTCTGCGTATTTGCAAATTTAGAAATCACATGTCCATCTCTTAGCGCTCCCGCAAACGGTGCAATAGTGAGCAGTTTGAATGACGTTGGTGGTGCAACATACTTCACCTGTAGCTCAGGATTTACAATGGTGGGCAGGAGTGCTTCCGTATGCAACACATCTGGATCATGGTCAGAGCCAGTGCCAATTTGCCAAGGTCAGAATTATATTTTGCATTGGAGATGTGGAGTTAGCAGTCATGTACGTACAGCTGAAACAACAAACACACAGAGATGGATAAAGATAACAATTGGGGTTTGTCCTCGACACTTCTAGAGGTGTTCTCATATCACCCGCCGTATAGTTCTGAACATTACTCGGTCATATTTTGTGATGCAGTCTGGACGTTTAAAAACTAAATGTCCTTTTCAAGATAATCATTTCTAGCGTCTGGTGGTGCTGGACCTCGTCTTTGGGTCTACTGGATTACTTCATTTAGTTATCCAGTAGGGGTCTACACTACTCAGACATCCTACAACATGAGTCAAGGTTTCCGTGATGGTGCATGGCTCAGAGAGGTTGTGCGTGTATACTGTGGTCGGACTAGTATGTGAATCTAAATCCCATGTGATATGTATCAGCTGTTTCTGATTGTTATTTCACTTTCATGAGTGTCTTTCAAAACGTTATCAAGGGCTCCGCACGCCTGATCTCCTTACCAAAGAACACCTAACTGCAGAAGTAACCGAAATCGAGAGATCAATTTGGTCACAGTTTTTTTTTCTGACAAGCTTAGTTAAAACACATGCGTTGCTAGGTCATGTGAGAGACATGTGTTTTCTGCAAAACAGAGAGTCACTGACTGAATGTCTGATGTTTCGGAATTTGCCGTTTTAGCAATTAATTGCCCTGCCAATCCAACTGCTCCTGTAAATGGTGTTGTAGCAACTGGTGATCGAAAGGCATTCACGACTAGAACATATTCCTGTAATACCGGATATCAACTTTCTGGAGCAACAACAACTGTTTGTCAAACAACTGGAACATGGTCTGCAACACCACCAACGTGCACCCGTCAGTATCCGTTCTAGAATAATCTGGTCCTTTCTTGCTATTTGCAGCACTCGCTTCCTTCGTCCCCAGGCGCTAAGCGTCTAATTACAAAGAGACGATGGAAATATAGCTGTACATAACGAAAATAGCATTTTACAATGCGAAATTCACAAACCAACATTGTCGCAGTCAAGGCTAGTTATTCAATCCTCAATTTTTCATGCTTTCACAATGATCAGGCAACAGCCACAACGGCGGTGTTCGCCACACTTTTTCACAGCGATCAACTATATTATTGGCAAAATAGAACGATAAGGTTCCAACGCAGGTATGAATTCTTGGAATGGCCTATGATTTTAGTTTGGGCTAGCGTTAGCTACGTTCGCCAGGCGTAGTGTCGCTGTCGATAAAGCATTTCCTTTGATTTTGAATATCATCAGCTTCTAAATCCATTAGCAAAAAGATGATCAAACATGTATGTCAAAGCAAGGTGTAGTAATATGCTGCTTAGTGAATTTCTAGTATAGTTTTAGCGATAAAGAAGACATACGATTTCCGAATTCTGAAGGACATGGATATCTTACATATTTGTACACCTGCTTGCGAAGAAAAAATGTACCTTGATCTGCGCAAAGCACCACAAAATTGGTTGCAATAATTTGATTCAGCGTGGAGGTAATGAAAACTGCACTTTTTAAACATTTATATCTTCCTGATTCCTGAATGGTGCAGGTGTCTTGTGCAGTATTCAAGTTGCTCCTTCTAATGGAGCTATTGCCAGTTTGTCCTTGGAGATATACGGTGCAGCGATTTTTACCTGCAATTCGGGATACAATGTAGTCGGTTCCAGCGCATCAGTATGTCTTCCAAATGGAGCTTGGTCGATTACTCCACCAACGTGTCAGCGTAAGTACATGACTATAGAATCTGATAACCATCGATTTACTAACCACAGTTAATAAGGGGAGATTAAGTTATGTATACGATGCTCACTTTGGCGTACCTCCGAGTTTCCGAGAATCCAAAGGAATATAATGGAGTGAGTATATTGTCAGGGCAATAAGTACATGAGAGGCATGAATAATAATCAGTTATGTGTGTTCTGTGAGGGTTTAATTGGGTGATGTATGGAACAATGATACAACTCTCATCCTTTCTATGCAGGTGTTCAATGTCCCTCGATCCTTGCATCACCTCTCTTTGGATCTGTATTGCCAGGAAGTAATGAGGTATTCAATTCCAGACAATTTAAATGTCATCCTGGTTATCAACTTGAAGGTAGTTCACACACAATTTGTCTTTCAACTGGTGCATGGTCTCAGCCAACACCTAAGTGCAAACGTAAGGAAAAATACTCGCATTCAACCATTTCCGCTCGGTGAACCTCCAAAAAGCACCACTCCCATGTCTCCATATAGTGTCTCAATACACAATGTCGTGGGGATCAATTACTCGCCAGTCGATTCTGAGTAGGCTAATGTTGTATTTCTAGCCGGCCGAGCGCAGCGAGATAGGCGAGAAATGATTTCTCGCCAATTGTTTTCAGTTATAAATACGGCATCTGGTGTGTTCTTTATTGTCGCTTCTTTTCCTGACTTCTTCAGTAGGTTTTGAGTCTCCCCAGTGTCCCTGCACACCCGTTTTTTCCTCACAACTGCGTCCGTTGGCGCGAGGGTTTTTTCGCGGCTGGCTGGGCAACTACCCTTCATTTTGTGTGTTTTCGCTTTTGCTGTCTATGTCTGTGTGTGTGCCAGTATTTGTGGAGGGAGAAAAAATTTATGTTCCGACAACACTTCATTATACTGCTTCCCGAGCTAAAAACAAGACTCGCACACTCACAAAAGAATGTTAAAATGTTTTTCTGCTTCTATTATATGCAGGTGTTTTGTGCAGCGGTCAAGTTGCTCCTCTTAATGGAGCTATAGCAAGTATGTCCTTAGAGATAAATGGTGCAACAATCTTCATTTGCAATTCAGGATACAATGTATCCGGCAGCAGTGCATCTGTTTGTCTTCCAAATGGAACTTGGTCAAGTTCACCACCAATTTGCCAGCGTAAGTCAAGGGCCAGAATTAATTCTGTGAACCATCCACCTCATACCCAGCGTTAGCAGCAACGTATACACAGCAAAGGGCGATATGGTAGTGGCGATATTTTGAGTTTATTTTGTCAATTTCCGAGATCTACATAAATACATCAGACAGCTGATACAGAGGTAAAGGCATGTGAATCTATAGTTCGCTGTTGTTTTCTGCTTCGATCAATGGTGTCCGATGTATCTTTTTCTTGCTATACAGGTATTACATGTCCAACGAGTGTTCCAACACCATCTTTTGGAACTGTAACCACAGGCATAAATGAAGTATTCAGTTCCAGAAAGTATATCTGCAACGCGGGTTATCAGTTGCAAGGTAGCTCACATACCCTGTGTCTCTCAACCGGCGCATGGTCTGGTCCAACACCTACGTGCAAACGTAAGGGCAAAAAGAACCAAATCAGCTTCGTCTTTAGTTGGAATATTATGGTCCTTTTGGCAAAATTCGTCAAGTCCTTCGGAAACAATATCACGGGCCCTGGCCAAATGTTTGAGTTCCGGCAACGTTGTCTCCAATTCTCAATCCATTGTTGCAATGGGCGCATAAAGGTTTATTTTTATCTTTACAAAGACCAGTTAAATGCCAAACATGCGATGCAGCTAGGAGAAGCACGCACGCTGAGACAAGGGACGCTTCCTTTGAATCCACACTGGCGGGTGTTACGCAGCCCTCACTGTGGATCAAAGACAGAATCTGGCGAAATATGTTTCTACTTCCGTACATTGCAGGTGTTTCTTGCAGCAGTCAAGTTGCTCCTATGAATGGTTCGATTGCTACGGCGTCTTTGGAGATTAATGGTGCAACAACCTTCAGCTGTTACTCAGGATACAATGTAGTCGGCAGCATTTCGTCTGTTTGTCTTTCAAATGGAACTTGGTCCAGTTCACCACCTATTTGCCAACGTAAGTCTATGGACTCGGGTGGAGAGCCAAGGATACATTTATAGTATAGAAAAAAGGACCAAGAAACTACAAATTACCCCTCTTCATTTTATTTCTATAACTTAGAACCTTCCAAGTTGGAAGGCTGTTGGTGTGCGTATCAAAGATGCGCTAGAGCTGCTAGGCAGTTAGTTGTAGAACGTCAGTACCGTCGATCAGTGTCGTGCAAATTTATCGCATGAACAGATTGTTTAGTACCTGGTGGTGTTAGTGGACATTATAGCGTACCTTGTAGTTTCTTCATCCTTTTTTCTTTACTATAAGTCCATGGCTTCCTTAGTCTGCTAGCCATCCCCTGCATATCCAACGTTTCAAATTTTATTTGTCAGTTTCCCAAATCAACACGGCAACCATCAGACAAATGATACAAGCCCGATTGAAGTAAAGAAAAGTTCTTTCATAGTTTACTATTGTTTTCTGCTTCCACGAAAAGAGCATCAGATGCATATTTCCTTCTTTTTATGCAGGCATAAAATGCCCAACGACTGTTGCCTCGCCTAATTACGGAAACGTCACCACCGGCACAAATGATGTATTCAGTTCCAGAAAGTATATCTGCAACGCTGGTTATCAGTTGCATGGTAGCTCACATACCATCTGTCTCTCAACCGGCAAATGGTCTGCTCCACCACCTACCTGCAAACGTAAGGGACAAAGAGACCCAAACACGTTCGTGGTTTCTCGTAAAAAAACCGCTTCATTCTGAAGAAAAAAGTTGACCGTCACCAGCCTTTCCATCAAACCAGCTTCGTTTTGATTTGGATTATTATGATCCTTTAGTTGGTCGAATGCCAAGGTGTACGCCTCAACGCGACAAGGCCCAGTCAGCACTACCTGTCGCAGACGTCGGCTGCTCTGGCTGGGCCATGTTGTTCGCGAAGGACGTAACTCAGCGTCCTACCAAGCACTGGAGATGGCAATTAATACCCGGGACATCAAGCGCCCACGTGGCCGACCCCATCTCAGATGGATTGACAATATTAAAAATGATCTAAAGCACGCCAATATTGATATTTCTGACTGTTTTGAACTGGCTCTAGACAAGAAAGAATGGCTGATGCTTGTGGAAAAATGTGCTGCGCTTGCGTAGTTGTTCTTACTGCGATACGTTCTAACAATAATGAGATGCCTTTTGTCGGCTCTTCTGCCTGGATTTCGTTGACAGATGCGTTAAGCCCATGGATCCTTCCATGAGTGACATGCGAACTGTAACTATTATTATTATTATTTAGTTGGATTGGTCATGTCGTTCCGAGGCAATATCTTCAAACACCAACAATCACGGGACCTGGTCAAATGCTCGAGTCCGAAAACATTGGCTCAACCCAGTGCGACAGCGGGCCAGAAATTACCTTTGAGATTTTGTGAGAACGAGGGTTCCCAGGGGTCGCGGAGGTCCTGGATATTATCGATGTTTTCAGACTTCGTAAAGCCTGGCATTGCGTTAGCAAGTAGCGGAGAGTTAACACACAAATATTTCTGAATGGCTTGCATATGTTTCAGTTCTTGTAATAACTATAAAAGTATTGACCAGATTCTCCGATTGACTAAAGTTAGATAAATGAATATCCCTCATTCCCTGTGGACTTTTATTCCTGCGTATATTGGGGTCCTGGATAATATCGATGTTTTCAGACTTCGTAAAGCCTTGCATTGCGTTAGCAAGTAGCGGAGAGCTAACACACAAATATTTCTGAATGGCTTGCATATGTTTCAGTTCTTGTAATAACTATAAAAGTATTGACCAGATTCTCCGATTGACTAAAGTTAGATAAACGAATATCCCTCATTCCCTGTGGACTTTTATTCCTACGTATATTGGGGTCCTTTTGATCCCCAGGAACAGTTTGGGTGGTATTCTTGCAAACTCTCCATGTTATGCAATAATTTTGCTGGGTTACCTTCCCATAGACCGAAACTTTGACCAAACTATACTTCAGTGGATGGAATCCATGTATTCGTTCACCATCAAAACTATCGCAATTGTTGCACTTCCCTCTGTTCTACTTCCTCCGTATACAAAAACTTCGTCACTTTTTTTGAAGTCTGCGCACAGCTTTGGAATTGTTCCGTTTTACTTGGAATAACACTCGTGGCATTGTCTACCTGTTTACAAGCTATATACAAAGAAAAAAGCAACTCAGACGAATGGGATTGAGTTTATTCAGAGTCTTAGTCGCTCCTGTCATAGTCACTTGACGACGCTGAATCCGCATCGCCAACAGTCGCTGCTTCCGCTCGCATTTCGTTCAGATTCTTTCCAGCTGCAATGATGATCCGACGCGGGACTTTGGCTACGTATTCTTCATTTCCAGAGCTGTGTACAAATCGGTGTCGACTATATTCAGTCGTTGCAACCCGCGACCTCCATTATGCCGTGAAACGAGTCGCTCTAACACATCCACACGCTTCGCATTTTCTCGGCAGGAGAATTCTCCCAGCATTCTACAACGGCTTTAACGAGGTCCCTGCGATTCCCCTTGGCGACAACGGAGACGTCTGACTGGAGTGGAGAGAGGCGAAGAAAGCCAGGTGGTCGACATTCCGATTCGGAGTCTGCGCTGGTTGCACGACGACTGAAATGTTTCATCTTGCCGTGCGAGCGAAACCGATTTTATGTTCTCACGCTGCGTATGGGGCTGCGCACCGCAAGTACGAGCCTGCATGGCCAGTTTCAGGGCGGCGAGTGCCGCGTGACTCCGTGTTCCAGCCGCTAGCTCCACTTCGTCACCATGTCAGTTTCGAGCAAGTAAGTGTTAGTTTTTTTGTCATTTGGCTGGTGAGTTCCTGTCGGCAACGTCCCCACATGCATGGCTTCCGTGGAGAATCTGTTCGAGATCAACAAAACCTACCTGTGGTTGTCGAGGACAGCCTTTGGCGCGGTTCGTTGAGCAGGTTCTTGCTCAAAAACACAGTTGAAAAAAGTCACGATTTTTTGAGTACGGAGGAAGTATGTTGCTGCGTCCATTTGGAGAAATCCATCATAAACCTCTAACCCAGACTATTTATTTATTTATCTCGCTTATTGTGTTGTTGAGGAGTACATGACGTGTCAGGAGATGTGATGCCGCAAACTAAAAATATTTCAGAAATCATACCCCTGGGGTCCGTTTGGACCCAACAACCCGGAATGAGGGATATTTATGTGAATAATTTGATAACCTTTCTGACGGCTGAATTATTCTTCAGCGTATTTGCAAATTTAGAAATCACATGTACATCTCTTAGTTCTCCCGCTAACGGTGCAATATTGATTGATTGATTTTATTTTACTTCGCAAGTTCAAACGGGTTCCTGGCCCAGTTATATGAAAGCGAAGGATAGAATTTGCCAAAATCCTAATGAGCAACAGCATAGGCAATATTATCATAGAAGTGGAGTACTATGCGAGCGAGAATACTGAGAAGAAAGGAACATGTCAGAACCTGACGAAACACAACCTATTACAGGCAATAGTGAGCAGTTTGAATGACGTTGGTGGTGTTATTTCTCTAACTTAGATTTTCTATAATAGTTCAATTTTGTTTTCAGTGTCCTTTAGTACAACGAAGATTCCTGATGAGTGTTGTACGAAAACTTGTTTGAATCCCTTTCTTTCTCTACACAATTTCTTCACATTTTCATCGTTTTTTTGCACATTGTCTCCACAGTTTTACAATACATGAATACAGTGTACACAAATGTCGATCCAGCTTGTATTACTGATTACGGTTATCAAATTGTTGTCTCCTCACCGTTTGTTCAAATTATTATTAGTATTTCGTGATTCAATCTGGACGCTTAAAAACCTAGGAGAGCATGTCTGAGAATTCCAATGTATGTGTGCAAGTGGATCTGTCCGATTTCGCTCAAACTTTGCGGGTATGTTCCCTTTGGGGTGTAGATCGATTGTGCAAAGCCCTTGAAAAAGTTTCTGAAGGGAACCTTGAAACTTGCATACCCCTCAAAATTGGCCGAAATAGCACACTATTTATGGGTCTATAAACGAGTCACGCCACCGCGTATACGAACAAGTAGCCCTTGGCGGATTATGCCGGCATAATATTTGGCATAATCTTGGGATTTCGTCAAAAAGTTAAACGGATTCCAACGTGTAAGGTCGGCATAATCTTTCGGTTTAGACAAAAATAATATTATTATGCTAATGGCATGGCCGTGTGTGTATGCGTGGTTTCTCAATCCTCTATGTACAGCGTGAATACATAGTAGAACCGAGCATAATTCAGCATAATTCAGCATATTTGTTGGCATAATTGTGGCATAATCAAAAGCATAATTTGACGATTGACCGAGCATAGTCCGCCAATGGCTGCGAACAAGCTACGAACAAAACTTCATCAAGCCAACATTGCCTCCCCTTAGAAGAGTTCCTGGAGCAGTACTGTTAAGCCACGCCAGGATCCCAGAAGACCAGGGCCATCACCCCCTGACGCCACAAATGATCGTCTTGAAAATAGTCAATTTACAACCGCTGCAAAACAGCCAGCTACGTCCTCAAATGGCAAGAACTATACACCGGCAGATAGTAAAAGACCTCTTCTAGCGCTGAGGACATGTCCACCATCTTCTTGAAATAAACCTTTTGGAATTTTTCCACTCGACCATGCTGAAATACGGTCAAAGTCATACCTGCGCAGGAAAGCTCGCCCCTCCGCGATGTCTCCGCAGCAGTTTCTACTCCCAGCTCTGCAGACTAAAGTGTATTGTTGACTCTGACAAGGAAAACCAGCGGTGATCACGTGGTGCGATCGTTGATGCAAAAGTGACTGAAGTCCTGAGCGCAGCTTTTGAATTTTTATGCAAGATGCACGGTTAGATCGCGTGCTTTGTGATCAAGGGCTCCGCACGCCTTATCTCCATACCAAGGAATACCTAAGTGCAAAAGTAACCGAAATCGGGAGATCAATTTGGTCATACTTTTTTTCTTTCTCTGACAAGCTTAGTTAAAACACATGCGTTGAGAGGTCTTATGAGAGACATGTGTTTTCTGCACAACTGAGAGTCACTGATTGAATGTCTGATTTTTTGAATTTTGCTTTTTAGCAATTCATTGCCCTGCCAATCCACCTTCTCCTGTAAACGGTGCTGTGGCAACTGGTGATCGAAAGGCATTCACGACTAGAACATATACCTGCAATACCGGATATCAACTTTCTGGAGCAACAACAACTATTTGTCAAACAACTGGAACATGGTCTGCAACACCACCAACGTGCACCCGTCAGTATCCGTTCTAGAATAATTTTGTCCTTTCTTGCTATTTGCAGCACTCGCTTCCTTCGTCCCCAGGCACTTAGCTTCTAATTACAAAGAGACGATGGAAATATAGCTAAACACAGCGAAAAGAGCATTTTAAAATGCATCATTCACAAAACAACAAGGGCAGTCAACGCTAGTTAGTCGATACTCGGAGTTTCATGCTTTAGCAATGATCGGCCAACAGACACAACTGCAGTGTTCGCCGCACGTTTTCACAGCGATCAACTACAATATATGCAACATAGAACGATGAGGTTCCAGCGCAGGTATGAATTCTTGGCATAATGGCCTGTGGTCTTAGTTTGGGCTAGCACAAGCCACGTTCGCCAAGCGTAGTGTGGCTGTCGATAAAGCATTTCCTTTTGATTTTGAATATCATCAACTTCTAAATCCATTAGCAAAAAGATGTCAAAACACGGTGTAGTCATATGCTGCTTATTTAATGGCTAGTGTAGTTTTAGCGATAAAGAAGACATACGATTCCCGATTTCTTAGGGACACGAATGTCTTACATAATATTATTTGCAAACCTGCTTGCGAAGAAAAAAATGTACTCTGACCTTGGTCTAGCTCCACTAAATTGGTTGCAATAATCTGATTCAGCGTGGAGGTAATGAAAACTGCACTTTTTAAACATTTATATTTTCCTGCTTCCTGAATGGTGCAGGTGTCTTGTGCAGTAGTCAAGGTGCTCCTTCTAATGGAGCTATTGCTAGTGTGTCCTTGGAGGTTTACGGTGCAGCAATTTTTACCTGCAATTCGGGATACAATGTAGTCGGTTCCAGCGCATCAGTATGTCTTCCAGATGGATCTTGGTCGATTTCTCCACCAACGTGTCAGCGCAAGTACATGACTATAGAATCTGATAACCACCGATTTGCTTACCACAGTAAATAAGGGGAGATTAAGTTATGTATACGATGCTCACTTTGGCGTACCTCCGAGTTTCCGAGAATCCAAAGGAATATAATGGACTGAGTATATTTTCAGGGCAATAAGTACATGAGAGGCATGCATAATCATCATTTATGTGTGTTCTGTGAGGGTTTAATTGGGTTATGTATGGAACAATGATACAACTCTCATCCTTTCTTTGCAGGTGTTCAATGTCCATCGATCCTTCCATCACCTCTCTTTGGATCTGTATTGCCAGGAAGTAATGAGGTATTCAATTCCAGACAATTTAAATGTCATCCTGGTTATCAACTTGAAGGTAGTTCTCACACAATTTGTCTTTCAACTGGTTCCTGGTCTCAGCCATCACCTAAGTGCCAACGTAAGGGAATATAATCCCATTCAAATACTTCCCCTCGGTGAACCTCTATAAAGCACCACTCCCATGTCTCCATATAGTGTCTCAATACACAATATCGTGGGGATCAAATACTCGCCAGTCTATTCTGAGTAGGCTTATGTTGTATTTCTCGCCGGCCGAGCGCAGCGAGATTGGCGAGAAATGATTTCTCGCCAATTTTTTTCCATTTGTAAATAGGGCATCTGGTGTGTTCTTTGTTGTCGCTTCTTTTTCTGACTTCTTCAGTAGGCTTTGAGTCTCCCCAGTGTCCCTGCACACCCGTTTTTTCCTCACAACTGCGTCCGTTGGCGCCAGGTTTTTTCGCGGCTGGCTGGGTAACTACCCTTCATTTTGTGTGTTGTCGCTTTTGCTGTCTATGTCTGTGTGTGTGCCAGTATTTGTGGAGCGAGAAAAAATTCATGTTCCAACAACACTTCATTATACCGCTTCCCGAGCTAAAAACAAGACTCGCACGCTCACACAAGAATGTTAAAATGTTTTTCTGCTTCTATTATATGCAGGTGTTTTGTGCAGCGGTCAAGTTGCTCCTCTTAATGGAGCTATAGCAAGTATGTCCTTGGAGATAAATGGTGCAACAATCTTCATTTGCAATTCAGGATACAATGTATCCGGTAGCAGTGCATCTGTTTGTCTCCCAAATGGAACTTGGTCAAGTTCACCACCAATTTGCCAGCGTAAGTCAAGGGCCGAAATTTATTCTGTGAACCTTCCATTCATACGCAGCGCTAGCCGCAATGTATTCACACCAAAGGTCAAAACGAAAGTGCCGTGATTTAAAGTTTCCTTTGTCAATTTCCGAGATGAACACAAAGACATCTGACAGCTGATACAGACGTAAACGCATGTGGATCTATAGTTCGATGTTGTTTTCTCCTTCGATCAATGGTGTTGTTGTTGTTGTTGTTGTTGTTTATTTATTTTACATCGCAAGGCAAACGGGCAGTTCTGCCCAATATTATGGAAGCGATGACAACCAGTAAGAGGAGTCAGAAATGAAGAGAAAAATAAATGAAAATAGAAATACGAAAATGGAAGTAGCAATGAGGGGAGGCAGGGTCAAGACGAGCAGAAAAAATGGATCTCAAATTTACAAGTCGGGTCATCGTAGCATGATTCTATCGAGCCTCATCAGCAGGTTACAAAAGCCATTACATTTAACCGAAGTAAAATACGCGCAGCATGCGTTTGAATTCACGGACAGATACTATGGACTTCATACAGTCGGGCAGGCCATTCCAGAGTCGGCAGCTGGCTAGAAGCGGTCGGCATGCGCCAGAAGCACTGTGGGCCAGGGGGAGGGGAAGGTTGCGTCCCAATTGACCTCGAGTGGTCATGCCTGTCGGCGGGCCTTGCAATACAATTCGGGACGACAACAGCTCACTGACGATTCCAGAACGGATTCTAAATGTCAGGAGTCGGAGCTTGCATTCTCCTCGTTCCAGCACTGAGCAGACACCCAGCCTGGTGTACAGGGGAAGAGTGTGGGCCAATGGGTGCTCATCGGCCACGCAACGGATACAACGTTTATCCAGTTTGGCTACTGTGTTCCGCTGCTCAGCGGACAGTCCTGGGAGAAACGCATTCGACGCATATAGAATATCCGGTATGACAAGGGCAGAGTAATACAGCATCGCCTGCCTCACTGTTAGGCAGTGCCGGATCTGGCGGAGGATCCGCAGCTTCATAGCCGTGCGTCGGACGATAGAGGTGACTTGCGGTGACCAGCGAAGATTTTCGTCCAGAGTGACTCCGAGGTAGCGAGCCGTACTGGTCTGGGCAAGAGGCGTGCCAGTGCAAGTAATGTGGAGGTCGAGGTGTGCCTGCCGTCCAGCTTTGATTGCAAGCACTTGCGTCTTTCCGGTGTTGAGGATAAGCCCTTTGGCATCGAGTAGCCTGGCGACAGCCGACACTGCTGCGGAAAGGGTGATGTTGATGGCGTGAGCGCTAGCGTGGCTCAGGTACAGCATGATGTCGTCCGCGAACATTAGTGTACGCACCGGGTCAGCTACTGATGCGACACATCTCGTGTAGATCGCGAATAATATCGGACCAAGCACGCTTCCCTGGGGGACACCGCACGTGCAAGCTGTTTCCTCTGAGCGTGTACCGTTGGCAGTGACCACACACTGGCGTCGTGAGCTGAGGTAGTCCGCAAACCAGTCCAGTGCCGTAGAGGAGACACCAAGTTCGAAGAGATCCTGGAGCAAGGTCTGATGTTGGACCTTGTCGAAAGCTTTGCTCATATCAATGAGCACCACGCCGGTATGCAGGTGCTGGTCTGCGGCTTCGTAAAATTGATCTACAGCCAACAAGACTGCGTCCTCTGTGGAGTGGTGGGCTCGGTAAGCGAATTGCTCTTTGTTGAATGCATCTTTCTTCTTGCTTCACAGGTATTAAATGTCCAACGAGTGTGTCTTCACCTTCGTTTGGAACTGTAACCACAGGCATAAATGATGTGTTCAGTTCCAGAAAGTATATCTGCAACGCTGGTTATCAATTGCAAGGTACCTCACATACCATCTGTCTCTCAACTGGCGCATGGTCTGGTCCACCACCTACATGCAAACGTAAGGGAAAAAGAACCAAACCAGCTTCGCCTTCAATTGGTGTATTTTATTTTATTTATTTATTCAACATCTCCTGGCCCGTCCGAAGACTGCCAATAAACATGAGAGGTCAGGTGATAGCCAACCACGGCAAGCTAAAAGGGAGAAAAAGAAAGATGCTGTCAGAGAGGGAAAGGAGATAGGGAGAGAAAAAGAAAGGGAGGCACATTAGTAATACATGGGATCACTTCGGATGAGACAGTGTGGAAAGCTGGACTTTGAATTTCCTGATATCCTGGCATGTCTTAATGCTAGTAGGCAGGTTAGACCAAAGGGAGTATGCTGAGAAGAAAGGGGATTTCAAAAACAGAGAGGAACTAGCTCGGGGCAGTGATAAGGCATTGCGTGTTGGTCTAGTGGTAACGAACCAGTTGTACTTGGCAATATGTTTCGGGACTTGGGCTAGGAAGATTTTTTGCACAAGGATACAAAGATGCTGCTGATGTCGGGCAAGAAGAGGGTGCGTGGAAGCAAGTTTATAAAGACAAAGGGAGGCAAATGTTTGGTCTTTTCGAAACAGAATTTTCAGAAGCAAGCGTTGATGTACTTCCAGTCTGTGGTATTACCGTAAAAGTCCGTAAATAAGTACGTATTTACTTTCGAATTTAGTGACCACACCCGTACTAACTTTCGGGCAGGTACTGACTTTCGGGCACGAACGAACTTTCAGACCTGACTTGTGTGTAGTGGAGAAGTCGTTTTCATGTTGATGTACATGCTACACGCTGCATGTGCGCATCGTACTGGTACTTATTTCGGGCAGTATGTTTATCGGGCTTGACTTGACTTCAACAGACAGAGCCTAAAGAATGAAGGGGGTATTTCTTTCGGGCAGGTACTTATTTACGGACTTTTACGGTATGGTCCTTTTGGGAAAATGCGTCAGGTCCTTCGCCAACGTCACGGGCTTTGGCCAAATGTTTGAGTTCTCCCCCCCCCCCCAACGATGCCTCAAATTCACAACCCGTTGTGGCAGTGGGCGCAGAAAATTATTTTATATTTACAAAGACCACTTAAATGCTATGAAATGTAGCTAAGAGAAGCACGCCCGCTGAGATAAGGGACGAGGACGAGGGTTCGTAAGGGTCGCTGGGCCCCTGGACCTTATCAATGCGTTCCGACTTCCCAAAGCCGGACATTCCATAGGCGAGTATCCGAGGTATAACACACCGAAATGTGCTTAGTAGGCATTCACTGGTTTGAGGGAAAGCTGAAAACGGGAAGAAATTGACTGTCACCACCAGGACTCGAACCAGGGATCTTGAAGCCAGCGAGATCCCTAACCACTGAGCTATGGTGCAGCTGTCATTCCAGCAGGGAGTGTTCAACATTTCCTTCAGACTTTATAACTCGCGCTTCCTTTGAATCCGCACTGGCGGGTGTTATGCAGCGGTCAATGTAGGTCAAAGTAAGAATCGGGCGATTTTTTAAAAATATGTTTCTGCTTCCGTACATTGCAGGTGTTTCTTGCAGCAGTCAAGTTGCTCCTATGAACGGTTCGATTGCTACAGCGTCTTTGGAGATTAATGGTGCAACAACCTTCAGCTGTTACTCAGGATACAATGTAGTAGGAAGCAGTGCGTCTGTTTGCCTTCCAAATGGAACTTGGTCCAAATCACCACCAATTTGCCAACGTAAGTCCATGGACTCGGGTGGAGAGCCAAGGATAAATTTTAGTAAAGAAAAAAGGAACAAGAAACTACAAATTACCCCTCTTCATATTATTTCTTTTTTCTGTAACTCAGCAAGCGCGTACGGAGGTGGGTTTTCCGTTGCCCGGAACCCCATCCCGAAATGTACCAAACGAACAACTTGTTTGCCTTTTGGGCATATTTGGGTACGGCGAACGATCGATCTGGCAAGAATGCAAAACTTCAACAGATCGTAACCCAGTCAAATTTCCCTCAAATCCAGCGATCCAAATATCTAGGTTGACTAGAAAACTCTCAGCTGTCGCTGCGAGCAATGCCGTTTGAGATAAATCGTTCGTAAGTTGACCCTCGATCTCGCAATTTCCAAAGCGCGCATGTGCGTCTCGAGTATCGAGAATTTGAAACTTTTCGCCCTGATGACTAGCTCAAATTTGCAGGAGCTTCACTTCTGATATTTTCAAGAGTACACAACGAAAAATTGAAACTCTGCGATCAAAACGAAATCGCTGCAGCAGGACGCGTTTGGGCCTTTGACCCAGTTCGGGGCATTTTTTTCGCACCATCGCTGCACTCTACCGCTATAGCATATAGCGCTGGATATGTATAAATTATACATGGCTGTACTGTTTCCTGGCATTCATGGTCGACCTCATTCTCTCCCGGGTACATTTCCACTTCCAAGAAGCCCAAGATAATGAAGATTGAGTGAAAAAATGCATAATTTTGAAAACTTCCTAGGGCTCTTCTTCCTAGGGCAATTCGGTTGGAAACCCCCCTAGCGGGGACTCTGCGTACGCGCAGCCTTCCAACTTCCAACTTGGAAGGCAGCCTTCCAACTTGGAAGGTTATAAGTTCAACGTATAACCTTCCAAGTTGGAAGGCTCTTGGTGAGCGTATCCAAGATGTGCTAGAGCTGTTAGGCAGTTAGTTGTAGACCGTCACTACCATCGGTCAGTGTCATTCAATGGTATCGGATGAGCTGATTGTTTATTGCCTGGTGGCGTTAGTGGATATTATAGCATCACTTGGTTCTTTTATCTTTACTGTAAGTCTAAGGCTTCCTAATTCTACAAACCATCCCCTGCATGTCCAGCGCACAACATATGAGCCACAGAAAAGTACGTTTCAAATTATATTTCTCAGTTTCCCAGATCAACATGGTATCCAGCAAACAAATGATACAAGCTCGATAGAAGTAAAGGCATGTCCCTTTGATAGCTTACAATTGTTTTCTACTTCCAAAAATGGCATCAAGTGCATCTTTTCTTCTTCTTATACAGGTATAAAATGCCCAACGACCGTTGCCTCGCCTAATTACGGAAACGTCACCACCGGCCCAAATGATGTGTTCAGTTCCAGAAAGTATATCTGCAACGCGGGTTATCAGTTGCAAGGTAGCTCACACACCATATGTCTCTCAACCGGCGTATGGTCCGGTCCAACACCTACATGCAAACGTAAGAGAAAAAAAGAAAGAAACCATCTTCACTGGTTTTATAGAAAGACGCCCTGGGAAGGCGCAACCAAGAGGAGCACCTTTCAACGTTTATTACATAAACTTGAGCCTCCCAAGTTGGGTTGTCTGTTGCTTTGCGTCGTCGAGTCATAGTAAGGCCGGTAAGTCCACTAGTCTGACAAGTTTCGTCATCCAGTAACTTTCGGCATTCTTTGTTGCCGTGATGCGTAGCTCGTGCTCTTCTTGGTTGCGCTTTCTTTCCCCTCTTGGACCTTTCCAAGCCTGAGCCTTCCAAGTTGGAACGTTGCTGTTTTGCGCCTAGCATAAGTGTTGGAGCTAGGTGTCAGGTCGCCGAATGTCTCAGTACATCTTTTCAGTTTTGTGCCATTGTAACGCAGTCGCTGACTGTATAAGATCTTAATGTCTGTATGCCTCCTTTGCACCATGGCTGGAAGCTCGGCCTATTTAGCTCGTAGCTGTACTGATGACGCCTTTATGGCCGAAACAGCTTGCTGTCTTCAGCATTGGGTAAGATCTGGATACGCTTGTGGACAGTTAGTCATACTTGTAACATTTTGTCCTTCTCCTTTTCACCATGATTCACCATCACCATCCGAGTTAAATAAAGTAATAATGTGTATTGTGAATATTGTGTCCTTTGAGCAGTGTATTGTGTCGTTCTAGCCGTTTGTTACAGTTCGCTGTATAAATTCAACTACGCAGGTCCGTCTTATGCAGTAACATCTCTCACACTCTACAATTAGGTTTTCGCACACGTTGTATTTCTCGCCGGCCGAGCGCAAGGAGATAGGCGAGAAATGATTTCTAGCGAAATATTTTCAGTTGCAAATATGGCATCTGGTGTGTTCTTTATTGTCGTTTCTTTTCCTGGCTTCATTAGTCAGTTTTGAGTCTCACCAGTGTCTATGCACTCCCACCTTTCATATCTGTGAATATTATCATTACTTTTTTATTACTTTTTGCCGTGATGTGCTTGCCATGCCTATAATTATGATGCCTAATCCCCATTGGGGATATGCATCATGTTTTTTTCCCTCATGACTGCGTCCGTCGGCGCGAGGGGTTTTCCCCAGCTGGCTCAGTCCAGAAAAATTAATCTGACGGTCCCAACTGGTTCTGCATCATGGCCTATTTCTGCTATCCACTGGCACGCCTATTCTATCTAAGACACTCTGTTCTCAGTCCTTGCTTCCATACCTCACTTTTTATCCGGTTCACATCTGGCTGCGGCCAACTACCCTTCACTTTGTGCAGTGTCGCTATTTCTCTCGATGTGTGCCAGTCAAGCGAGAATAACATATCTTTCACAACGTTCTCGCATTCTGCGATAATACAATCCCCATACAATCCGTGTTGACATTGATATTTTTGTAATTTCCAATCAGGACATTGTAGCATAGTTCACCACATAATTACAATAGTCGGTATGTTCTCTAATTATTGGATGTAATTTCACTGGTGACTATCGAGGAGAAATGCTTATGAATTGTTCTCGCATACTCTATTTCGACTATCGTGGCATTATGTTGGCACCACTTCTGATATTCATAGCCCTGTTGAATCTTTAGGTGCGAAACGTTTGTTGGCTTCCATGCTTTGCAGGTGTTTTGTGTAGCAGTCAAGTTGCTCCTATAAATGGTTCGATTGATACTGCATCTGTGGAGATTAATGGTGCAACAACTTTCACCTGCTATTCAGGATACTATGTAGTCGGCAGCAGCGCGTCTGTTTGTCTTCCAAATGGAACTTGGTCAAACGCACCACCAATTTGCAAACGTAAGTCTGTGGATTACTAATTCTGCATGACATCCACTACATATCCAGCGTACATATACATGATAGTAGACACAGAAAGGAAAGTTTCCGGCGTATTTCCCTGGCTCCCAAAGCAAGAGGACAACCATCAGACAACTGATACGTTTCCAATATGGGTAAAGGCATGCTGGTTGATAGTTAACGATTGCTTTCTGTTTCCAACAATGGCATCAAGTGAATATGTCCAATTTTCCTATACAGGTACGCAAGACATAGAGCACCATGCATCATTCATTACAATTAATAGTTTCATGCCCATGCAAGTAAGTAAGATAGCTCTATTTGAATGAATATTGAGCACTCTACCGAGCCGTATGACTCTCATTTGTTGTCCTATACAGGTATAATATGTCCAACGACTGTTCCCACGCCTACTTATGGAGCCGTCACCACAGGCACTGATGATGTATTCAGTTCCAGAAAGTATAAATGCAACCATGGTTATCAGTTGCAAGGTAGCTCACATGCCATCTGTCTCTCAACTGGCTCATGGTCTAGTCCAGCACCTATATGCAAACGTAAGGGAAAATTGAACAGATCCAAATTTGCGTCGTTTTACTGCTGTACAAGTACTTGAATTGTGATAATAATAATTATGTCAGCACGTATTCTGTCCCATTCTAGTAATCTGCAACGTCAGCTGCCTTGATTGCAGTGTTCCGCGATCTACAGTTATGTTTCTTAAAAACCATTCATATCCTTGGCATTCTTTAGAAGTAGAAACGACCACCAACACCTGAAATAGGTTGATTCCCAGGCGCCGGCCGTCCTCAAACGATGGAATCTACACGTGAACAACTCCGAGTCTGAGGATAACACCCTAGTACAAAATTAAGGCAGGAATAAAGCTGTAGGTCCGTTGGAAAATTGAGTTCACTCTTTGGAGTTGCATAATATGCCGCGGGGAAACGTCAGCTAATGTTTGCAATTGCACCTTTCCGATCACTGGACGACGTGTGGTCCAAAAAGTTGACCAACAGCGACTGAGTTTGTACAATGCATTTATAGTCCCAGTTCCTAGGTTCAGTAGAGGTGCTAGGGGACTAACACAAGCTAAACTCTCGAAGACGGACTCGTATCAACGTTTTCAACCCGGCTATCATCAACATGCGATAACACAAGCTCCTATCTAACGCCACGCTGTACCAGCGATGTAACGGTGACCAACTACGACTGCGTTTGTACAATGCATTCATAGTCCCAGTTCTTATGTTTAATAGCGGTACTAGGGGACTAACACAAGCTGAACTCTCGAAGACGGACTTGTGTCAACGTTTTCAACCGGCAATCATCAACATGCGATAACACAAGCTGCTATCTAACGTCAGCTGTACCAGCGATGGTACACCCAGAAAAAGAACGGCATGATCCAGCGCCTGCGCCAGAGACTCTTTGGTCATGTACTCATCCTCCCAAGTGACATTCCCGCGAATTAAAGAATTTGAATTGGCACAATATTCCCTCTCCGAAACAATATATCTGAAACAATGACAACTAGCTGTCTACAGATTTGAGTATCTGAAACATTATTTACAAGCCATTCCCGGTTGTTGTTGGCTGCTTCGCATTCTTGTTCAATAATTATTGGTTTGTAACTGATCTTTCTTCGCTATGTTCCGCACTGTACACATTCTTCATAATTATTTGATATGCGCCTTCTCTGTCACTCTCTCTCTCTCTCTCTCTCTCTCTCTCTCTCTTCCGTGCTCTCCCTCTCTCTCTCTCCCTCTGTCTCTGTCTCTCTCTGTCTCTCTCTCTCTCTCTCTCTCTCTCTCTCTCTCTCTCTCTCTCTCTCTCTCTCTCTCTCCCTCTCTCTATCCCTCTGCCTGTGTCTCTGTCTCTCTCCCTCTCTCTCTCTTTCTTTCTTTCTCTCTCTCTCTCTCTCTCCCTCTCTCTCTCTCTCTCTCTCTCTCTCTCTCTCTCTCTCTCTCTCTCTCTCTCCCTCTGTCTCTCTCTCTATCTCTCGCCCTGTCCATGGACAGACTTTGTGACTGGTTACATTAGGCGTGTCGCTGTTACTCTTTTCTGCCTTTTTCAGGTGTTGTATGCAGCCATCAAAATCCTCCTCCTAATGGTGCTATTGCTAGTGTGTCCTTAGAGATAAGTGGCGCAACAATTTTCACCTGCAGTTCCGGGTACAAACTTCTCGGTAGCAGTGCATCAGTTTGCCTTCCAAATGGAACTTGGTCAAACACGCCTCCAACATGCGAGTGTAAGGCTAGGTATCAATAATTCTGTTGCCACACCCTACGTATCAGGAATGCAGTAAAGGGCGTTCCGGTGGTGTGTATAAGCGCCCCCCCCCCCTCCCCACACACACACACACTAGGCCTATGCGGATAATGTCGGCAGAAAAATCGGCAGAATTCGGGACTTTTTCTGGTAAGTTCCATGCATGTTTGGTATGTGGATAAAGAAATGGAGCAGAATTCGAGGAATTGCCCGCCATAAGGTTTGTATGGTTCTGCCAATTTCACTGCTTTTCGAGCAGAATCTGCTACCTTTTCGAACATTATCCGCCAATGCCTACCCCGCACACACATAGGCACACCCCCCTCCCCCCCCCCCACACACACACACAGAAATATACACACACCTATTACTAGACGGCAGGCGTACAGAACAGGCAAATGGTTTGATAATAATCATTACGGAACGAATAAAACTATACGTGCACTCATGTCACAACGATAGCGACGAATAAAGTATTCCACATCGTTTTCTTGCCACAATTATTAATGGAATTCCTGACTACAGGGAATGATGAAACTACATTAGGATTTATACACTTGGAGTGAAAAGTCACGAGGATACAAGAAGAGTAAGAAAAGATAGCACAAACTTCGGAAAAATTTGCACTGGCACTAAACACTATCCAAGTCAGAAATGATAGGGAATTCAGGAAGTGCCGTGTGACAATGTACATACATGTGCAAGTGTGTGTGTGTGAGTGTGAATATACTGGAAGAGTGTAAGCGCGGTCACATTTTATTTTTGTTTAACAAGATTTGAATCATGAATGCGAATGTAGAACTTTCAACTGCTTGAAACTATTTGCAGAACGAATACCACTGAACCAAGAATCATCAAAACCTTTTTGATAAGTAAAACGAATTTATATTCAGAACAATTGAAACTCAGAGTTGTGACAAAGCTTCCAGTCTCTCTCTCGTGTACAAGGCTCTGCCCTACATGGGTATTGAGCACCTTTCGGACAATGAAGCACACCACTTGACTATTGAGATCAATTGTGCACACTGCAGAGTTCGATCTTTCTTCATAGTATAATTAGTATTATAGTATAATTATTAATGTCCAACTACACCACGGGGGTGAATACTTCGCGTGAGTCCGGATGTCCATTAACGATCAATCATTGCTAAGACAAGTTAAAATCCAAATGCCTCGTGTTTTGTATACTGTATGTATCTCTGGTTGCTGTATTTCAAGCAACATCAACGCAATGTCCTGCCAATCCACCTCCTCCATTTAATGGTATCGTATCTCCTGGCGGGCGAAATGCTTTCACGACAAGAACATACTCGTGCAATACCGGATATCAACTTTCTGGCGCAACAACAACTATTTGTCAAACAACAGGAGCATGGTCTGGAACACCACCAACATGCAGACGTCAGTAAACTATTCTATACTTTTTCTGTGCATACTTCTTTCACCATGCTATCCGAACGACTGAAGAGTATTAATAATTGACATGTGACATTAGACATTCTTTGTTGCCCGGAGACAAAGCTCGTGGACATCTTCGTTGCGCTCCACCTCCACTCATTGGAGCGCTCGGCAAATGGGCCTTCCAAGTCGGGACGTTGTTGGTTTGCCTTTTGTAGATGTGTTGAAGCTAGATAGCAGATCACTGAGTGCCTTAGTACCCCTTTCATGCTGTGTCTATTATAACACTTTTACAGTGTGTTGTCGTTGAAGTTGTTCTACCTCCTGTTTTTGTCTTCAGGTGTGGTATGTAGCAGTCAACATGCTCCTTCTAATGGGGCTATTGTTAGTATGTCCTTGGAGATTTATGGCGCGACAATTTTCACCTGCAACTCGGGATACACTTTAGTCGGTAGTAGCGCATCTGTTTGCCTTCGTAATGGAGCTTGGTCGACTTCACCGCCAATTTGCCAGCGTAAGTGTCTGACCAGATTCCCTGCCTTCTGTGTTCTTGCTTTTCAGAGAGCTCTAGTATGAAAACTATGTGATGTGTAAGATGCCTCAGACCTTACACCTAAAACAAAATATGAGCCGCGCCAAGCTAAAAAGTGGCTTAGCGTTTTGCCAACAAATCGAGAAAATCACCAAAACGTCACAGACGGCAAAATTCTACTCGAGCGCAGTCGCGAAAATATTCACTTTCGAGCATCCTTTCAAATTCAAGTAAATAGTTTGCAAGTGGAGAAGAAGGAAGAGGCCTTTTATTTTTGAGCAACACTTCTTCAGTGTTCCCTCTTTCATCGTTGAGTGGATTTCTCGGCGCTGCCAGAGATCGTAGTGGAGCGTTCTGGAGAATGCGGAGGCGAGCTGGATGACACTCTGTCTCCGTGTGCGCCCAACCCTAGTTGACGAGGAAAACTCGCTCATTCATAGTGGCTATGGTTCTCATCGTGGCCATGACTAGTCTAGAGCGTCTGGTATACCTATGTGGAGACGTCTACAAGCCGTCCGGCCATCACTCCGACAAGCTCCCTAGTGAGTTGGATCTTGCTGCGATGTTTCACTTTGTTTCGGGGACCTTCAAATGTTCATGACGTGGCGTACTGTACTCCAAAAATTCCTCATTTCAAGGACAATAGCGCGACACGACGAAACGATGCATTGACTCTACCTGCTAGCATATCGTCCTTTGGTGCTTATACCACTACCTACACCAGGGAAGGAGAATGATATGGACTAGGACGGACAAAGAATCAGTGCCGCCTTTTAGCGATGTGGAGTCAGTTGGACCTACGTGCAAGGGACCAATGGAGCTCGATCTCTGGCACAACATTTCGAGCTACAGGGAAGGATAAATTCATGTTGGCGTAGGTGATTGGAGAGAGGATGACGGACTGCCTTGGTAAGATGCGACGTTTCCCAGCCCAGCGAAAAATATAGTCACAGACTCACAAAATCATTGAAGGATATGAAAATTCGTGTTGCGTGATGAAATGACATGAGATGAATAGATCAATTATTTCTTCTTTCTTGGATCTTCTAATCAGAACACAAGTGCTCGTTCCTCTTGTATTGCTTCCACACCTGCTAAGCTCTGTCTCTACTTGGTGTCCCATGTTTTCTGGAGTAGGTCTTCATAATTATTATCTTAGTTTCATTGATACAAGGCATTCTGTGACATGTGCAGGCAATGTATGCTTATTTATGGCAAATTTCCTTGATGGAAGTTGGATAGGTAGGCATCGCTTTGGCATGAAAAAAGAAATTTCCAAAAATTATGCCTAAGCCACCTTTTTGCTTGGCTCGGCTCATATAATATTTTTTCCGCATGTGTTGTAAAAAAGCACGTCAAATAACAGCAATACTGATTTTTGCCCGTGATTGTATCATGTGCTAACGTTGAATTCTTCCATCCAATATTCCGAGTAATTTTGGATCTTTTGATCGCCGGGAACCGGCGTTCTTTGAGTAGCAATACTACATAAATCTGATAGTCTCCCAACGCAAATTCAAGTGTACATCAGAAACAGATTGGTCTATAGTGACTTTGGTCTGCTGATACGAACAATGGCACACATTGAGCATCTCTTTCTCTGCAGGTATACAATGCCCAATGACTGTTCCTGCACCAACTGATGGAAATGTTACGTCAGGAACAAATGACGTATTCATCTCAAGACAATACACCTGTAATGATGGATATAAACTGCAAGGAAGCTCCCATACTATTTGTCTTTCAACTGGTGCGTGGTCCGGTCCAACTCCTACCTGCAAACGTAAGGGCTTGAAATCGAGGCAGTTTGACTGAAACCCGTGTTCTCCATGTCGTGTCTGAGCTTACATGACCATGAATTTAGAACACGCATAGTGCTCAGCTTGCTGTATTCGGACATAGATGTCTGACATGGTGGGTGGCTGCGTGGAATCGACAGGAATTCGAGCAGTGTGCCCAACTTGTGATACGATAGATAATGCGTTAGAGGGTGAGGAGCAGGTAGCCATTGCTTGTAGAATCAAACACGTGGTTACACGGCATAGCTGGTTCCACAAGATCCAGGTCCACACGAGGAACATTAGCTTTGTTCATTGCCATCGAAGTAAAACATTTCAACCGTCCCTTTGTTTGAAATTATTCGGAAGGGGTTTCTCTGATTGTCTTGTCAGTGTGATCTTCAACACACATCTACATCCGCCAATATTCTTCGCAACTGAGACTTTCAGCTCGTCCTTGTCTTGGTTGCGCTGACCTTCCCCTCCTTTGTTATTCCCGACTTAGAACCTTCCAGCCTGGAAGGCTGTTAGACTGCGCATCCAAGATATGCTAGACCTGATTGCCAGTGATGCGGAGACCGTCAGTACATGTACTGTTGTTCCTTATCGTGCAATGCTATCTGGTAAGCTGGATGTAAAGTAACTGGTGGTGTTAGTGGACTATTCGGGGTAAATCTCCCAACCATGAAGAAATGACGTTTTGCAAGTTTCAGCCGACGCCCATTTTGGTGTCTCTTCGCCGATGTCTGCAGTTGAACAATGTAGTGTGGAGGCAAGGAACAAAAACATCCAATAACCTGGCCTGCCAGTTCTACTCTTCATGGTGTAAATATTGTTTTCAATGTAATCGTGATATTTTTTCTTCAGGAATAACATGTTCAGAATCATTAGTCAATCCCACTAATGGACATGTGACGGCACCAGCTAACACAGTATTTAGTGTGTCAACATACTCTTGCATGCCAGGTTATGAGTTGGTCGGGCACGCAAATACCATTTGCCTGACATCTGGTCAGTGGTCTGGACAAGTACCAACATGTAGCAGTAAGTTTCGTAATGTTGTCCAAGTTTATTTAGAAATACATTGGTCTCCATCGATACTAAATAGTTGAGTGAAAGCGTGCGTAGTTCTATCACTTAATTTCTCGAGATCATAGGGAGAGTAACCGAGACGCTACGAGTATTAACTCGTATCCGTACCATATTTGCCAACATCCGCTTTGAACCCGCTGGTTTCATTCCTTCCAGAGTTTCTGTAACATGACACGAATTTTATGTCTGATTTCTACAGTACGTATTATTTTGTGATAACCCTTCCTCTTCTCAATCTATGATGTTATAATTTGGCAGATATACTCTCAGTAAGCAATGAACGGAGACCCCCTCGACTTAGGCCTCGGCCTTTGGGGAATCCATAAAATAAATAAATAAACATAAATAAACTCTCCCCTCGACAATACATATCCCTCCGAGTGCTTTACTAACCAAGATCTGAGGGGAAACCCTCGTCGTTGCCCAGCTTCATATTTTCCATTATATTGCCGGGATGTAGGGAGTCGTAATCGACTCGTTGCTGCATTCGGAACACGGTGTGCGAGTTATAATGAGGATATGGAGTTCGATGTCAAAATGATGATGTGTATTCCCGAACGTGAATAGTTTGTAGAGTACATCGCCATAGCTTAGCTGTTTGTGATACATGAATAATAAAATGGGGAATGATAATACAGAGCACGCAGAAGGAGAGCAAATTATTACGCTACGACATCGAAATCTAAAAGGAATGGGAGAAACGACGTCTAGGATCATTACCGTCGCGGGGAATGTCCTCATTTTCTAATGTAACAAAAATCATATAGAATGTTATTTGTAAAAAAAGGGTAGAAACACATTAGAACGAGTTATGCAGTAACTATCCATGACTGTAACAAGATGATTAAGAGTTAGAAAGGGCGATATTAGGGCACAAAACTGACCGGCTACTGAGAAATTTAGTGACCCGAGACCTAGCTCGAACACATCTCCAGTGAGCAAACCAACAGACTCCCATTTTAGAAGTTTCATGGTTACGTAGAACCGAAGAGTCCCATGTGTTTCTTCTTTTTGACAATCTTCACTGTCTCAGTATCCGATAATGTTAATTTTTCCTTACTACAGCTCCATTCATCGTTCATTTCACTTAGCGTCAAAAATGTGAACTGCGATACCTCTCAATCCCAACCAGAGATTGAGTTGAACAATGGGAAAAATATATTTAATTTTTAAGTGTACATTCATCGCACAGCCCCGTGACAGTTGGAGCCAGCACCACAGTGCGCTAACTGCGACGGTGGATGTCATTGAAGTGTTATAGGCACGCTGGCAGCAATAGAAAGTCGTAGGGTATGAAAAATATTGAGAAATACTTTGCAGGCACAATGGTTCACAAGGTCTTTATTTACTTCCTTCGATCATGATGGTTCCTTGCATACATTTTCCCAAACAGAAATAGCATGTTCATCAACCCCAACTGCTCCTACAAATGGGAGTCTGTCACCTGGAGGAAATGATTTTCTGACAGTTCGCACGTATTCCTGCAATCCTGGATTTCAGCTGATTGGCGATAGCACTACCATGTGCCAGGCAAATAGACAATGGTCCGATGCTACAACAACCTGCAAGGGTATGTATAAGCTCCTTGCATCCATCACTTGTCATTAACGGCCATTTAGTTTTGTTGTTAGGAATGCGTACTACCTAACTTGTCGTATACGTTTCTTCACATTAATATATTTCAAGATCTGGAATATGCTTCCTAGCATGTCAGAGTTACGTATTCCATGTTGACTCTGTTTGAATTGATCAGGTCCCACGGTGGAATGAAAAATGTGAACTACATTCACAACCTATCGCCGTTATTTTTTCCAATGTGCACTGCAGCTATTACCTGCAATGCTCTTCCTAGCATTGCAAATGGCAATATTTGGCCAAGCCAGTCACCGCTTGTACCAGGCAGTGTTGCCTTTGTGGACTGTGATAAAGGCTACGCACTGCAAGGGAACACAATAACTTGTCTCCCTTCACGGAATTGGACAATTGCACCGACATGTGCACGTAAGAGTTTATACTGTTTTAGGAACTTTTAACACATACTATGGCCAAAGGTAAACAAACCAACCGTTGTTGTGGTTCCTCTAATTGTTGTCTCTTACCCATCCCCTACCACGCTCATATTCTTCGTCCATCTCAATTTCCTAGCTATGTCCTTATAGAAGACGTTATAATTTCAGTGAAAATTGTGTACCCCGGGGAGTGAATAAAGGTACTTCGTGTTCGAGGCCTTTCTTATCAAATGTTCTCTTCTGGAGTCCTGAGCCACACCGATACAATTCTGTTGAAACGAAAATGAGCATAAAAGTATCGCTAGTAATTAGCACCTAATTTACATAGGGGATACGCATTGAGAAAGTGCACTAGGCACTCACCTGAGTCTTGAGCCTTCAGTATTCAATGTGCTCATTATAGTATTCGTTACCCTCAAAAGTATCATTCACTCTCCAAATTCTTTTCAGGAATAAGGTGCTTGTCCCCGCTCGCTCCTCCGATAAATGGCAATGTCTCCAGTGGTAATGCTGTGTTCTTCAGCACGCGAGAGTACTCGTGCAGTCCTGGCTATGAAATTTACGGTGCAAAGTCTACTGTATGTCAATCCGATGGCAACTGGTCAGTCTCGTCTCCCACATGCAAAGGTATGTTGCTCCACTATGCCTTCACCGGCAAGTGCATATTTGTTTAGACACCCGAGAAATTGAAATCTCTTTTTAAGCCACTAAAATCCCCTTGCTGAGCATATCATTACTGAAAAGATACGATGAATCAAAGAGTCGCAATTGAAACAATAATATTACAATTCCAGTATACGCGACGACAGTTGCTTTATTTGACATTTTCCATCATTCCCTGCATTAACCCATGATGAAAAGGGAACGATAACGTTCGGTTACTAAATAGGCTTACTTGACTGTGTGGATTGCGTCGGTGCTGACACCTTTTCTTCGAAATTGGGTAGGCCTCCAATTTTTTCCTCACAGTTATTGCTGTTTGTTGTTTCATTTACTTTAAGTGATGTAATTCGCTGGGACAAAGCAGCACATCTTCAATTAATCACGCTTAATCAAAGTCCACAGGGATCCTTTTCATTCTTCAAATACATAAGAAGATACAATAAACATGATTGTGATTTTCCAGTTCGCATTATTATGTCCATTCATATGCACTCATGTGCTCTTCCAACTTCATCGTATGACCAAGACTGTAACGCCGTCACATTCATTTTGCGTTTACTGTACCTTACCAGAGATCAAATGCGACAACCTTCCGTCTACTCCAACCAATGGTTTCCTGGCTGGACAACAGAACTGTCTGGGCTCTACACGTGTGTTGGGCTGTGATGAGGGATATATACTTCATGGATCTGACCGAGTAATTGTGTGTCAAGCAGACAAAACCTGGTCAACGACTAGTGCCACTTGCGTTCGTAAGTCTAGTATTGATTGATTGACCGAATCATGATGACTACTTCTAGACGTATCCAGTAGAAATTTCACAGATTCAGATTTCTGAACTTTACATTTGGACAGCATTTGCATAAACTGCACAGTACAAATAGAACAATTCAAACGGCGCTGTGGCACATCCTTTGCACATTTAGTCCTCAGACATTGCAAGTTTGCAATTTCCTCAACCTAATGAATACTACTGTCTCGTTATTTTCCTCCACTATTCCAAGCACTACAACCAAGCAATTATAGTATGTAGCTGACGTGATCATACTGTGAGAGTATAAGTATGGCTGACCTTTTATAACAAGGTCGACTTCTGGTGCAGGTGATTTTCACGCCTTCTTTTCTTGACGTTGATTCGTTCTGACTTAAACGTTCATCCTTCATAGTATAACTCTGCCATGAATGTTGTTGTCGCTTCACAGTTCAGCCATGCCCTAAGCCACCCAATATCACTAATGCCGTTGTCAGGGCTAACCTGACGTGACCCTACGTATACGGTGACAGCGTGTTCGTACATTGCAACACTGGACATAGTGGCAGTGGCCACATCAGCTGTACATCTACCGGAAAATGGAGTCAGATCATGTGCTCTGGTAAGGGGTTGTTTTGCTGTGTTTATACTCTCCCAATACCTGATTTATTTAGGGCGCGTTCGAATTGTCACTCTTTGACTTTTCGAGGAGCTTCGTTTTTCTGAAGAGGTGGCCTTATTGGCCTCTTCAGAAAAACGAAGCTCCTCGAAACTCCTCGAAACTCTTCGAAACTCATCCGATGGGAAGGTGGATTAGTTTCGAAGAGTTTGGAATAGCTACGTCAAGTAGTATGTGGAGATGGTCGATCTGATCGGACGTCATCATCGCAATGGCAATTCCACTGAAAAACTCTAAAATGATAGAAACTGTTCTAATGGGACACTTCCACTAATCTCCTTATAAAATTTGTTAGAACAGTTGATGAAGACAATTTGAACGCGCCCTAAGTCATTAGGTAATATACTCACTTTGATTGGTACCTTTTGGCAGGTATTTCCCTAGAGAGCAGTAGGGATTACTATTACTCTCCTTTTTGGTTTCTGGCTGCCCTTGTGTTGATGGGAGGTTTGTTGGAGTTTTGCTTGGATCCTTTTGCAATTTGGACAAGCACGCAACCTCATTGAGCCTTAGCTAGGGACTGAGTTCATTTTTTGCCTCCTGGTTGCAATGCTTGAGTGCATTTTCTTTTTTTGCATCATCATTTTATACAGTTAATAAAACACGTTTCCAAGTAGCGACTACTGATCTCTTTGGTTCGCTCGAACCGTTATAGTTATGCGCTAAACGTCACGGTTACGGTATTGAATTCGTGCGGCCAAAGTGCGCAGGAAAATGGAGGCCTCCGTGCTAGAGATGCCAGCTAAAGTGCATGCATCGTGTTAACTATTACTTAATGGGAGTTCAGGTCTTTGAAATGTGCCAGAAGTAGACACAGGTGGCGCAAAGACTGGTGCCTCTTATACATACTTGTACTAAATTTTACTAACAAAATTACTAAATTTTGTGTGCATTATTCGGTCATTGCTTTTTGCAGCAAGAGATTGCAGCACGGTGGCAGGCCCCACCAATGGCATGGTGTTTCTGACTGGCTACACTGTTGGCGCAACGGCTTCATTCATGTGTTCCCATGGTTACACACTGATCGGCTTTTCCTCTGCCACTTGTAATCATGGAGGAGTCTGGTCCTCTCCAACACCCAACTGTGATCGTAAGTAGGCAGTCAATGCGTATGTGACTCGGATTGATCGTGCTGGACATAATAATTATTGCGACAGGTTCACACTTTTCACATGTTTTCTCACAATTTATCAGCTACGCTATAGTACCCGCCTTGTACCCGATCGGCTACGTGATACTCTAGCGATAAAAGCTGACAAGGTTGTTCTTCCATTGGATAGCCGTGTCTCATGATAAATTCTGGAAAGTATATGTACATAATACTACATACAGTTGTGAAATGTAAAAATGATTTAATACAAACCATTACAGTACTCCCGAATACTGCGGGCGGAGAAAACATGCTCCTTTCACTTTGGCATTCGGTTCTGTGGCTCTCTAGAGGCTATGAAATGACGTATTCTGCAGTTTCGGTGGGGTTCCTAACTTTTGTAGCAAGCCTAATCTCTACCGCGCTTGCTAAACTGCATCTGGTTGGTCAAGGAATATGTATCCATAGCATGGCCACTATTGTTCGCCTGAGAGTACAGTCAATCGCCGTATGCGATAATGTCACAACGTTAACGTTCTTCGTTCTTGCTCGTCGCAGGAGTGATGTGCCCCAACGTCAATGCGCCTGCAAATGGAGCAGTCTCCACTGGTGATACCGAGGTGTTTACCGTGCGAAGATTCACATGTGACACCGGGTTCAATCTTGTAGGTAATCCAGCAACAGTGTGTATGGTAACTGGCACTTGGTCCGATGGTACACCTCATTGTATTGGTAAGATGGCCGTGTTGATGTTGGTGAAATAATTATAATAGATTCATCTTGCGTCTGGATTCTAGGTCTGGTATTGGTGCGAGAAGGGAATTCCCAGTACACGTGTACTGATCTATTAGGTAGGCCTTGTTTGGATAAAACATGGCCGTTAGTTGACAGCATGTTACAAATGTGGAAGACGCACAGTTTTCAACCCAGTGCGTCCTCCACCTTATAACATGGTGCCAACCAACCAACACGTACTCATCTGACTCCCGACTGGTGTAGTACATACTGAATGTTAACTGCGAAAACTAAATATGCGGATGGAGCGGATGCTTGTGGACCGTGTTACTGGTGCTGCACCCATTGAACAATGTTTTGTCCTACTCCAGAGTGTTCGCTTCTTGAATGTTTCCAGACTTCTTTGTCTTTGCCATACTGCCCTTGCCTTACAGAGAAAACAACAACCTGCCCGTATTTGCTGGCACCGGCCAATGGATTCATAGATAATGGAAGCCTAGATGTTGGGTCCTCCCGCGAATATTCTTGTTCAGACGGATACATAACAACTGATTCAACGCACACAGCTTGCTTGAAAAACGGACAGTGGTCTCAGTCCGTTCCATGCTGCTTCACCAAACATAGTACCGGTGAGCCATGATGACTTGTAGTCCATCTGTAATGCTTGTTCTGGATGAGTCGAAAAGGCGACATGGAAAATGCATGAAACGTTTTACTCAAAAGCATATTGGTTGTACGTTGGAAGGGGATTGTACGTTGGGAGGGAATTGAACGGCGATAAAAAAGGCAGGCCAGCTCACTTTGTTCGGTGCAACGTACGAATGACTACATGCAGCAATCTCTACCTGTTCGAATATCCAGCAAACCACATATATATGGCGTACCAACGTGCATCCAGAGTTTATGCATATCATTTTGAGGTTGTCCCTGATTGCATTGACGAGTGGCTGTTACACGGAGATGTACGATATTCATGTATTTACAGAATGCATATGCCGGGAACCAGTTGAAAATTGAACTGATACCATGTCCTGTTCAACCTAACTATTTTGTGCTAGTCGCGCATCATTAGCCGACATCGGTAGGTGAGCAGTTCTAGAGCATGTCTCAGAATACCAAGGTATCTGTGCAAGTCGATCTCTCCGATTTCGCTCAATAATTTCAGGCAGGTTTCGTTTGGAGTGTTGATGAACTGTGTAAAGCCCTTGAAAAAAAGTATTCTGAATTAAACCTTGAAACTGGCATGCCCCTGCAAAAATCTAGCCAAATTATCACATTGTTTACAAGTCTAAAAAGAGTCACGCCACAGCGTACATGAACAAACTACGAACAAAACTCCATTAAAGGGGAACTCCGGTCCAAAATCACCCCCATTTTTATTGCGGAATCCATTAGAGTATGTCGTATATGGTAGAATGGCGAAAACCGGAAGCTTCTACGACAAGGATAACATACCTAAATTACCAATTGCAATATATTTGCCATGAGGGGGGCCCCGCCCACCCTGTGACGTAAAACGTTCTCACTGAGCTCCAATTTTTTTTATTCAAATGGTAGATCTACTGGAATTTTGAAAAAGGTATTCACTGTTTTTCTTCAATCAATAATCCTTGTACTAGTATTCATTCCACCATCATGTTGGAGGAAGAGGAGACCACGGGAGGTGTGGAGGTGGACGCCTCTTCAGGTTTAGCAACACTGAGGCCTTTTAGGTTCGAGCCGAAGCGCGCATCAGCGTTTGCGAAACTGTCTACAAGTAGTATTTCTGAGACTACAGATGAACGTGAAGAGAAAGCTTTGGTTGCACGTGCTCGCGTGGGAAGCATTGCTTGATGTCGTTGCGGACAATGCAGCCTGATGTGGAGCGAGGTCGGTAGTACTTGTTGTTGGGAGGTTCCTGCAGCTTTCAGTAAACGCGGCGAGCAGGAAGGGCTGCAGTGCGTCATGCAGCACTCAGAGTTTGCTGTTGTTTGCCTGCGAAAATGAGTGCTCGAGGTGGCATTGCTTTCCTTCGAAGAATTTTGGGCAAGGTGTGGACCGTGGTCAAACAGGTGAGGATTCACTGAATCGGTTTCATTATTTTCTTTCTTTCCACGTTTCATGTACTGGTACAGTGTACACATGTAGATGGGAAGTGCTGTGTAATGATTTTGTGTACAGTATTCAAATTCACCAACTTCCATCACACAATCATCAAGTTCTATTGCACCCATGCCAATCTAAATATACTGGTACAACGATCTCTTTCATTTATACTATTACCACTTGGTCCGCCCAGTTAAAATTGGCGCTTATCTTCTCACTTGGTTTGTTGGTGTTCTGCCTGTGGCACACGGCATGGAACCACCGATTCACCATCCGAACATGACCATTGACCATTCCATCCGACGACATGGCAGCACAAACCATCACAGAAGTTGCGATCGGTTCGTTTGAGTCTTTTTGACGGAGCTGCCGCCGACGAACACTTCCGTCAGCGCAAGAAAACACTGCAACCTCCGCTTGAGTCCGTAAAATAGGTCAGGATGTTCGCTTTTCAGAGCGATGGAAAATACAGTTTCTGTCTACTTCCAGCTGTCTGATGGCAAGGATTGTTTACCCTGGGTAGGTGTAGAAAAGCTGAAAAAGCGCTTCGCGAGCTTGAATTTCAGTGCTTGCACAGTACAGCGCCTAGTGAAGGGCTATCACCAGCAAATCGCTGACGAAGAAACTGAAGCTCATGTCGATGTCTCCAGTAAGTGAGACCAATCCGGCGGACACACTTTGAAGCTCACAGAGGACAGGGCAAAGGAGCTAATCAAAGGAAACACCAAGTCCTGAGAGAAACACTCGTGCAAAGGACTTTCAGGAAACTAGCAGAAAAGCCTGGTGCACGGCGTTGTAGGTGCAGTACGCACAGGTTTTTTTTTGTTTCTTTTATTTGAATTCGTTTAGAGCACAGGCAATTCTGCCTTCTTACCAGAGGAAAAACCTCCGGTTCCTGCTAAGAACGAATATAATATTATGAGAGAAGGAAATATTAAAAAGAATCATAACATGATAATTCCAAAGCACAAAGTTTGTATATAATTCAAATGGGTGTGTGTATGTGTAAGCATGCAGTGAAGAAAACACCGAGAAAACATGCAGTAATGTTTAGGGATGCCGAGCAAGGTGGTTACAAATTGCAATTAATTCTGTTCAGAGCCAGTTTAAAGGCAACCGCCGCACTGTGGAGGCGAATATCGCTGGGACGGGCATTCCAAAGAGTGCTTCCCACAAATGTCAATGACTGACGACCGGAAGGTCCAGGAAGGAAAGGCACTTGCAGTAGCCGCTGCTCCTGTCCTCGAGTAATTCGGCGATCATCCCGGGATGCTTGGCCTGTGTTAGCCATCAACTGAAAGTAGGTGCAGAAAAGAGGACCTGCAAGACCATGTAGGCAACGGAAAACAAAAAACAAAACCTTGTAGTTAAAAATGTGAGTTAGGGATCGAATAGATAAGCGCACGAGGAGGGGGGCTGTGGCTGCACGGCTGGAGAGTCGGAAAATTGCACGAATTCCGGATTTGCTGGATTTGATTAAACGACTCTGCAGCTGCTGTGTCAGCGACGGGAAGAATGCATTGGATGCGTACGTTAGTCGTGCTTGCACAATGCCAATGTACCAAAGTCTGCGGGCTCTTATGGGCAGAGATCGCCCATGGCGCCATAGCTGGCTGATGGCGACTGACGCCTTCTGCACAACACTGGAGACATGTGGCTGCCAGGATAGCTGGTCATCAATGGTTACGCCAAGGTATTTGGCAGTGGAGGTAACAGTTAAGGCTTGATTCTTACATTTCACGACTGGTATGTCGCCAGTGAGCCCCCGAGGTTGAATTACCATGACTTGGGTTTCAGCCGGTATTCAGCAGAAGCCCAATTTCGGAGAGCCAGTCAGACAGACGTGTCACAGCCGTAGTCAACGTCTTGCAAACAGTGTCCAGATCTGAATCAGAATAATCTAGGATGATGTCGTCCGCGAACTCCTGATGAACAACAATGCAAGGTATGACGTCGGAAATGTCACTCGTGTAAAGGACAAAGCGAAGCGGCCCAAGAACACTGCCTTGGGGCACACCTCTTGAGCTTGGGACTGCATCAGACAGAGCCTCACACACCTTGACACGCTGAGTACGACCAGACAGATAGCTAGCCAACCATAACAACACTCTGCCATTGACTCCCAGGGTGAATAGTTTATCAATCAGACGTTGATGTTGGACACGGTCAAACGCTTTTGACATGTCAACCATCACAATACCTGTGTATTTTCGCTCTTGTTTGGCCAACAGCCAACGGTTGGCGGCTAGAACTAATGCATCTTCGGTAGAGTGCATTTTCCTGTAGGCAAACTGACTGCTAGGTAATATGCTATGTTGCGTGAGGTATGCTGTGAGTTGCTTCTTTACAAAGAACTCCAAAATCCGGGACAGAATAGGGAGCAATGACACTGGTCTATAGTTATTAGGGGATGTTGCATCGCCACTCTTGAACAGTGGACTAATGTGTGATGTTTTAAAACACACTGGCACAGTACCTGATGTCAAGGATGCATTGACTAGGGTGGTAAATAGAGGTGCCAGGACATCTGAACACTGCTGCAGTACAATTCCAGGAATGTTGTCACTCCCAGATGCTTTGTGAGGACTCACAGTTTGCAAGCATTGTGCAACATCAGACACGCTTACCGGCTGAAATGTTGAGAAGCTAGATGCAGAGGCTGGACCATGTGGTATATGCAGTTCAGGTTGCCGCATAGGGTCATGCACAATGTCTCCAAACAATTTACTGAGTGACTCAAGCGGCGCTTCAGGTTCTTTCCGTGTCTTCTGTCGGCCTGTGACATCGTTCATGACAGCCCAAAGTTGCCGTTGATCTGATGTATCACATCTCTTAGTGAAGTACAAGTTGCGCAGACTCCTGTCCAACTTCCGTGCTTTGGAGCGAGCTGATCGGTGTGCTTCTTGAAGGTTCTTATCGGTTTTGTCTCGGAGCCAGAGACGGTGCGCCCGGTTCCGTTCACGAACACTTGCCACTAACTCATCTGTAATCCAGGGGCAAGGACGTCGAGATTTGCGACGCCGTTCCCGAAGTGGAGCATTTTTGTCTAGAGTGGTCTGGATTCCCGCAGTGAGTGACGACGCAAGCACATCCACACAGACAGAGTCACAGGTAGTTAGCGTCTTCTCCAGGTCACATGTAAACATATTCCAATCCACTTTGTGCAAACAGCGAGTCTTGCGCAGATGCTGTCCCTTCAAGTGGTGGACAGGTGCTACATCAAGCGGAAGCTATCACTGCGCTGCATGTACATTGTACAAGCACCAGCGGTTCGCGTGGGTACGGGTGCTGATCAGCAAGTACGACAAGCGCAAAAGGCGATTTGAAAAAAGGACACTGATATGGCGTTGCCTTTTTGTCTCAAACAAAGTCGCATTATTGCGACGAACGGGGATAACACTTACAGTCAACATGAGGGCAGTCTCACTCAGCTTCTGATGGGAAGGTGACAGGCACGCACTGCCTTTGAGCGTGATTCGAGACGAGGAGAAGCGGAACAAGCTATGAAACGACCCGTGCAGCAGCTGTCCGGATCGTACGTTTTGAGCTCTTCCTCCAGCGACGATAGTGGCGAGGAGGATGTGTAACTTGCTTGAATTTTCGACTGAGTTGCTTACTGACATGTAAATAATCATGTATACAGTGCTTTGTGATCGTGGCTTGCTTCAAATATTCGTATTTCTTTCCTGAGACAAGTGTGAAGATAAGCGCCAATTTTAACTGGGTGGACCAAGTAGTACTCTAAGTGTTTCAACTGTGTGTAGAAGTGATATAAATTTGAAAAAAGGCTAAAGTGTCTTTAGTAGCCCATAGAAATAATTATTCGAATCTTAAACTATTTACACTGAAACTATTTACTTTTACACAATCATGAAGACACTCGTGTTATGTGTATCTACATCTCTCCAACTGTTTTGTGCAGGATTTGGAGACATGTGGCGTATAGACAATACACATGGTTCACCCATGGGTACTTCGGACGCAAGCAGCGGCGTGTGATACCATCTTGTGTTGTATCAAGGATAAAGCAGCCGTACCCAGAAGCCAATGCAGATGCCCACCGGGGCTTTGAGGAAGCAGTTGGACATGATGATGATGCATGATGATGCTTTTTGGCCTGGTTGACTTTCACATAATTGTTGGTACATGTGCATGCAGAATGTAGAAAACAGTTGACAGACACGATAATAATTAGTATTCTTGCCTCGCGCAATATTTGTGTTTGCGGGTAGGCGCATGCTTTGCACCAATGGAACTGCATGGTATAGTTGACAGATACAATGGCACAAGACTATTGTTTTCGGGAGCATGTGGTTGTCCAGGTGTCGTGTGCCGTCGCGAATGTCGAGAGTGGCTGTATGCACATCGTTCGACAGGTCCTTCAAGAAGTCAAGAAATTCTTGGCCACCCTGTGCTTTGGGCTCGTGGTGCATTCCAGCCTGTACCTGAGCACACCCTCCTTGGTTTTGGCCTGCGCTCTCCCTATATTGGCATTGTGGGACACACATGCCAACTGTACCCGTGCTCTCATGCCATTGTACGAAAAGTGGACACGTTTTGGTGCCCACTTCAGCATGCCAGCATGGAAATATTCCAGACTGCCTGTATGGCAAAACTTGGTGAGCTGCTTCATATTTGATTGATTGATTGATTTTTATTTCACGGATCCTCCAGAGGCAAATAGATGCCTATCGAAGGGAGTCTCCTATATAAGTATGGAAAATGAGAAAGTATGTTCGTAAGGGAGAAGAGGTAGAAGATACATTAGAATATAGAGTACAGAAGAAGTAAATTCAGTACTTCGGGTAGTACATTGCATGCTAATCATAATGAGAATTAGAAAAGCAGCATTGCGGACTACTATAACTGACATATACACAAACTATTGAAACTATCATAGATGTGGTTAGCCTAGACACAAAAGTCAGGAATACCTTTCAAAGAAAACATAGATTGCGAATGATACCGCCGAACAGCAATACTAAATTTCGCTGTTGTAGAGAGTGAACGAATATCTTCAAGAAGTTTATTCCAGGCAACACTCAAAGAAAAAAGGGTTGATTTACGAAAGAAGGTGCCAGCTTTAGGAAGAATTATGGATGAAGGGTGACGACTGCTTTGGGATATATCGTTGAGCAACGTCTTGTCCATGACGATGCTCTCCAGGATTTTGTGCTGGTCTGAACCCCTTGTCAGCCATGCTCTCTCCTCATCCTCTTGTGGCACAAAGATACAACAAATACATGCCATCAGGTTGCAAAATTTGAAAAGCACCGTATATTTCTTATAATAATACAAGGCCAGGGAATGGTAAATGATGCAAAATCACTATACCTTGTATTTGTGGCAATGTAGCTGCAACCGGAAAGTAACGCAATGGAAACTTACAGATAAAGAGAACCGAAATAAAACACATGATAACGTTCCATGTACATTACATCAATCCTCGACTTCACTGACTAGGATTTTTAGTAGAGGACTTTGAGTAGGACTGTAGTCGTTTAGAACTACGTTCTGGACGGCACAAAATCATGCCGTTCACTTACCTCATCGTGCTCACGTTTCTGGAAGTAAGTCGAAGGTGGTCTGCTTTTGCTGGCAGCAGAGTTAGAGGAGCTACTACTACTAGTATGACATGTACCGCAAAGTCTCAGGGATGGCACAGACCCTGGCTTCAAGCGTTGTTGCTGCTTCTGCTTATAGTCTCCAATGCTTTGTGCAAACTCTTGTTGGAAATCTCTTTCATAGCACATCTCAGTGAAATACTCAGTGCAGACACGATTATTTTTCGTCAAAGAAAATCCTTCCAACATACTAAGCTGTCGTCATGTTCGCGTCAGTCAGCGGAAAGCCATGCTACGACAAGCCGGCAGGGGCCTCTTTCTTCGTGTCATTGTCGCATCCTACAAATTGGTATCGCCGTCCACAGCTGCATCAAATAGATGGGGCTCCTCTCAACGGTACCGATGTGCTGAAACATCTGGGAATTCGCTTCACCGCTAATCTTAACTTCCACCAGCATTATATAGATATGAGTGGAAAATTCAAACAGAGAATTACGTTGCTATGTTACATGGCCCAGCGCCTTACTCCCAAAGCCATGATGCTCCTTTACAAGAGCTACGTTCGACCCGTTATAGAGTATGGTGTTGTGGTGTGGGCGTACCGGCTACCTGCTTCTGATTTGTGTGAGCTAGACAAACTCTAAGCAAAATTCATCATGTCGTACTTGCGACGGCGTAAGTTTCGATTTGCCTTCGACACGCCAAAGCATGATCTGAACGCATTCGCCAAACTAGAATCCCTGCAGTACCGTAGACAATTCATTAGCCTAGTTAGATTGCACAAGTTTATTTTCAAATACCGGAACACCTTGGCTCAGTTCAGTTTTAATATTTCCTGTAGTGAGAGACGCCCCAACAAAATTATCCTCCCCAACGCCTAGACAACATCCAAATCACTTTTTTTAATTCAAAACCTCCCTTTTATGGAATTGTCTCCCACCCACATTGACTTCGGAATCTTCTGTCCATGTATTCAAGAGAGAGCTGCGCAAACATTCTTGTCAGTATTCAGGTCCACTCGCTGGCATGCCGGTACCCTGTTCATCGTAGTCCCCCCGCCCCCCCCCCCCTTTCCCAATCTGTACTCTCTTGTACCATCATCTTTCAATGCGACGGTCCCCACGATAGGCGGTCAGCCTTTGGGTCATGCCAATTAAGTTATTATTATTATTATTATTGACTGGTTTGAGGGAAAGAGACAAACGGGAAAAGTCTGAAGAAGAAATTGACTGTCACCACCAGGACTCGAACCAGGGACCCTCGCTTGTAGCCAACGATGCTCTAACCACTGAGCTATGGTGTAGTCGTCATCCCAGCAGAGGCCGTTCAACATTTTCTTCAGACTTCGTAATTATTATTATTATTATTATTATTATTAACTGGTTTGAGGGAAAGAGACGCAGCAGCGAGTCGTGACAATAAATCGGGCATGGCACAGAACAACAAATGCGAGTCGTACTTCAACAACCAAAAAATGTAATGGCGAAGGACTTTTCATTTTTGCTTCAATTATTTGAAAATTTCATCTGAGTGGACCGGACTGAGAACGTTTTACGCCACACAGGGTGGGCGGGGGCCCCCTTATCCCAAATATGGAAAATTGGTAATCCAGGTATGTTATCCTTGTCGTAGAAGCTTCCGGTTTTCGCCATTCTACCACTTGCGACATACTCTAATGGATTCCAAAATACAAAAATGGGGGTGATTTTGGACCGGAGTTCCCCTTTAAGCTACCATTGTCTCACCTTAGACGATTTTCTGGAGTAGTACCGCTGTACCGATCAAAATAGATATTTTCCAGAAATCGCCAGAAGGAACATGGGTAACATGTCTTCAATGGTTGAAGCGATGTAAGGTGAGTAGCTCAGACCCACCACCAAAAGTGGTCAAAGGCCAAACTTCCTATTCGTTGCATCCAAACTTGCCTCGTGCCAGGTCACGAGGTCCTAATTGACTGTGGTTCTAAGCACGGCTGGACAAAATCCTTCCGCTCCCAAGCAGGACTTGAACCTGGCACACTGTGTTCGCAGGCAAGCATAGTGTAATGACCAAAGGCCATGATTAAAAAACAGAACTGATTCTATTGTCGGCAAGCAAATGGAGAAATTCGTCAGAAGAGTCACGCGATTGCTACTAGCTAGTCTCCGATTTGCTGTAACTTAAATCAAAAGTTGATTCATCAACTATGGATTTTGTATGTAATATCAAGCTCTGATTTGACGCTTTTTGTTTGTGATACAGGTCAACAAGCAGGTGCATCTTCATCATCCTCAAATATCATTGCAGGTGTCATTGGCTTCTGTATTGGTTTGCTAACACCCAGTGCTTTGATTGTAAGTTACATTGCGCGTTCCCGACGCAGGAGTCGGCGGATCACCGTTACTGACAACACCGTCCAGCAATCTGCTCTATTTACTAACACGTTGACCAGGAGTGATGTGTACCAGATGGACGTGACCACGATCGAACCAAACCTAGAGCCACAGTATGCGTCTTTGGGCCAAATTTAATCCACCATCATTTGCTTCTCTCACTCACACTTATTCAAACGACGTACATCTCTTTTTGTTTTCATTTATATTTTTGGCAGCGGTTATTGTAACTTCCACATGTAAAACTAAACCCGGAGGGAAAGTAGTGAAAGAAAGGATTGAACATATCTCACATTTCTCACAAGATCGTTTAATGATCAATAAATGCTCTTTCACACGATCCCGGACATTATGTACTTTTCAGAAATAAAGATAAAACCAGAGTTTTTGAATAATTTTGGGCAAAGAAACACATCCATTTAGTGCTCAATTTCAACTCAATCTGCAGTCTGTATATTGTGTATGTGCCGCATTTGTTGGTCTCTCGTAGCCCACAAGTTACTGTGTTCAATTCTGAATAGTACGATGAGCAGGGATATGAGTTAGGGGGCTTACGCCCATCGTAGTCGTCTTCTTCCACGCCGTGCGGGCCTGGTGATTTGGCTTGGATTGAAGGAGAGATCGTATTCTTGAATACGCTCGGAACAATTTGGCAATAGTTTCAACATACATGTAATTAATTTGTCTTCTAACAATTTCTATTGAATTTAAAGATATGAATCCCCTTTCACCACGTACCCGGTTCTTGCTTTTTTGTGATATTTTGCTTTTGTATCGACGTTTCTTGATACGATTGGCATGGCCCTCTATCCGTTTCTAAACCATTCTTTAATATTACTCAAAGCTTTTTGCTGCCATATTACATGGGCTAGGGTTTCGGATACGGAGACTCCCTCAATTTGGGCTAAGGCCTGTGGAGAATCCATAAATATAAATACAGGATGGGAGCGGAGGAGGAAACAAAGCGGTTGATTAGCTTGTCAACGTATATGTATGAGATCCCACCAGTAGGTCAGCTTCTCCGCAAAATCTGGCAGAGTAGCGCTGATTACATCACCTCAGTAGCTGTGCTTTGCATTATATTCGGGAGTTTATCGTGAGCTACACCAAGGCAAATAAGGGGCGCTAGTCCAAAACAGGTGTCACAATTGCCATGAACTTGATTACTCGACGTTATGATTGTGTTCACACGTGTTGCAGCTGAAAAACACCCTTAAGTCGTTACCATATACGTGAAGCAAGCTAGGACCAAGACTGTTTATTTGTAGGACGCCAGGCTGGATTGGGCACCCTTAGCAGTTCCAGGCCCGGACCTTTGCGTCAATAGTATTGCAAAACATGCTCTTCGCGAAACCCAGAAATGGTGCACTGCTATCGATACAGTTTGGTTTTAGACTAAATGCCTACCGGTAGTTCTTTTCACGTTGGGTGCTTGGATGAGTTCATTGTTTACAAGCAATGGTGTTTGGCCCTTTATTCGCTACATCATTAGGGCTACTCTTACGGCTATAAGGGAGTCGTGCCGCCGATTCTCGTGCAGAAGTTGAAGGTCCTTGACTAGCATGTACAAAGTTGCTGCATGCCTTAGGTTGTACAGTTTCAACCTAACCATGGGCTATGCTCGACATTTTTTTCTGAATACGAAGTGATCAGTGTTTCAAGACGATACAATTTGTTGTGTGTTTCGATACAGGTAAATAGGTTTTTGCAACCTTTTGCGTCACCTGCATTGTAGGCAATGGATCAACAGAAGCCCTGGTGAAGGCAAGTGAAACTGAAATGTCCGGGACTCGGATGGAGAGCCATGGATGAGTTCTCAGAAAAAGAAAAGGACCAAATAAGTACAAGTTACACTACAATGTCCACTAACACCACCAGTTACCAGTTGGAAGGCTGTTGGAGTGCGCATCCAATATTTTCTAGAGCTGTTAGGCTGTTAGTTGTAGAACGTCAGTGCCGTCGGTCGGTGTCGTGCAATGTTATCCCACGAGCTGAAGTGTTCTGCCTAAAACATTTTCCTTACCCTCACTGGCTCATAGTGTTGATATTCTAACCAAATAGTATTAAACATGTGCGGAAGGCTGCTTTGTTGTGATGCACAAAAGAGGATGTTTCCAGAGTTTGGTGTTGATTGCGATTGTGTTTAGACTTGGTGCCGGTGAGAAATATTCGCTCCTTACAATCATGAGGACCAAATAAGGCTTGGACAAGAATGATAACATGTGGGGCGCAAGACGAGTTTGCCTTAGAGAGTCCAACGTATTCTCAATAATCATCGCTGGTTTACTGTTTGATGCCTGGTCCACTCCACACGTAAAATGGAACTAGGCTCATGTATAATGTAGCAATATCATGAGATCTATAGTGCCAGCCCAAGGTAAACAAGCACGGTGATTGTTCAACAGCATGGTGCGTTCTGGTACGAAAGCTTCCAAGTTTGTGTGTTCTTCATCACCTTGCACAGAAGAGGTCAAAAGCGTAATGATGACAGGACAGAGTTCAAGGATCTGGTGTGCATTATGGAAATGGCTTCCAACTACCAGGGTACGGATTGGTTCCATGCTCTAATTTCCAAATGATCGCATGGACTAGATAGTTGCCTTTTCATCGCGATATCGGAATTCAGTAGAAATCCAGCAAAACCAACAAAACATAACTGCTAGGTGTTCGGTGCCTGTACAAAGTTCAATCCTTATATTACTCAGATGGTTAGCAAAGGAAGGTTTTGTAACATGGGAATTTGTGGCCACAAGCTATGCGTTTTTGGGTAGATTGTGCACGTCTGACTGGTCAAAATCTGGTTTAGTTGGTGGACTCGATCGCATAACTTGTGCTCACAATTTCCCTTATATTACTGTCGCGATTATGTTCAGGCTCAATTCCTAATATTTAAGCCTTTAGGGCCCACAATTATTAATTTTCAAGAAATGAACTGCATACGCGAGCCCAGGTACTTATCTGTTCGTTACTTTGGTGTCCTTTGGCTGATTTTGGTTACCTTGGGCTTTCTGGAAAGCTCTTGCCCAGAGGAACACAGCGATAGCCAGCAAAACATCACTCGATCCGCAGAACCAGCGCCGCAGCGCGATACGGCGCTCCAAAGCCAGCATTGCGAGCGCCCAACTCAGCTTCTCCGCCATTTCAACAAATTGCATCGCAGATCGCTCAAATTTCTTTTACTGGAGAGCTGAAAAACATGCTTTTGCGATGACGTCACTTATCTCTAGCTGCGTGCGCCGCGAGTCAGGGAAAACGCCTAAAAACGAGTTCAAAATGCACGCGCTCGAGTTGACTCTGCTGAGCGAATTTAGTTCGAGTCTCGTATCTCCGCTTTCCGAACTCGGATCGCTTTCGGGTTTTTTCGAGACGATAGTTGAGAAAAATATAAGGTCGATAGCACTTTCGATTGTCCAATTTGGTCAAGGTACGGCCGAGTTACGCCAGGTTGCGCTTTGAAAAGTATGCATTGTACACTGGTACGGATATATCCGTAATATGGATCTCAAAGGGTTAAGGGACTTGCTCTGATTGGCTTTACCTCTCCACCCCTAGAGAATAGGCTATATTGATAGTCGTCCCAAGTTATAACGAGTCCGGTTAGTATATAAACCTCTGTTTTCAATAGAAGTCTGAAATGCACTGGCGAAACGTGGTCTATACACTCCACCCTTACCATGACAGTGTTCTAAAGGAATTTTTTTTACAAGGGCAGTCAGCACGGCCTACCCGAGTTTGCTCAGTAGTTTATCGTTCTCCGATTGCCATAATTGTACTCATTCTCCTGTGGTTTCCACCTGGCAATGATTGGGGCGTGAGAATGTCCGTTACAGCTGGAATGGTTCCGTTTTTGCCAAATAGATGACCTGTTTCACCGCACGATGTGCGGTTTACACTTCGGGAACAACGTACCGACGATCATTGCGCACAGAGGTTAACCTTGTTGGAAGTAATCTCTTGAATGCCGTTCGCAAACTTTATCTAGAGCGACAAAAGGACCTAGAAGTTACTTGTTATGACTACCACTTTATCATTCTTAAATCCCTGTTCCACCTCATCTGGAATTCTTCTACAGCTCACCAGAGGTGATCAAGGTAAGCGCACTTATCATTATCAATTTAGGCTCTTTTATATACCGGACCGGACAGATGTATTAAAATGTAGAAAGCAACAGACTACTTGTCGTGTTGAAGTCGTCAACAATAGTGTCATGCATGAGGGGTAAGGCTAGATTTTTGCATTCGGGTTTGTGCAATTCGTTATCGCAAAGATTCCCTTTCCTTTATCTCTGATATTGCCAAACCACCCAAGTCGGGTGGTGTTTTATTTTGCTGTTTCGAATTGTAGGTAGACTATCATGTTATGTCATAATATCATGTTATTAATTGGTGACGTCATCTTCCTGTGACGGTCGGCATTCTTTTGTTGCCGTGAGACTTAGCTTGTGCACATTTTCGCTGGGCTCACCTTCCCCTCATGGGTCCTAGTTCGGAGTACAACCTTGAAAAGGCTGTTGGTTTGCGCACTGGACATGTGTGTTAGAGCTGGGTCTCAGGTCGTTGTATGACTCGGTAGTCTGTCCCTTGCGTGCTCATTTATCGCTCTTTCTGACTGCATATTATCTTGTTGTGCTCGTGGATATTTGCTTCACAACTCGTTTTATGTGATTTCTTCTACTTTGGACTTGGATGGAGAGTCACTGATAAATTTAAAGAAAATAAAAGGAAGAATAAACTACAGGTTTAGGCTAGCCTCATTGAGCCACGCAAGCTGTGTGGAGTGTTATCTTGCGTCCTTGAATCGTGGTTTGAACGTATTGTCCAGTGGTCTTGCCAGTATCGTCATCGACATGAAAGAGCATACGCCAACGTCCTTCACAGCTGAGACTTTCAACTCGTGCCTGTCTTGGCTGCGCTCACCTTCAAATATCACTTAAAACCTTTCAGATTGGAAGGCTGTTGGAGTGCGCATCCAAGATGTGCTAGAGGGGTTATCAAGTTTGTTGTAGAACGTCAGTACCGTCGGTCAGTGTCGTGCAATGTTATCGCATGAGCTGATTGTTTAGTAGCTGGTGGTGTCAGTGGACATTATAGCGTATCTTATAGTTTCTTGGTCCTTTTTTCTTCTATTTTAATTATATTTCCTGGCTCAATATTCGGGTCACATCAAACAAGTTACATAAAACGTCGCACTTACTGACTGTATAAGATCTGGTTACGTTTGTGGACAGTTAGTCATAACTCGTAACGTTTTGTGTTTCTCCTTTTTTTTTACAAAAGAACCGTTAGTCTTAACTCATAACGTACACGTACCTTTCTCTTTACATAATAATTACATCATTTTAGCTATTCCGGTGGATATACGTGTTTTTTTGGAGGCCGGAAACGTTTTAAAGGGCATCATTGCTCAGCCGATCAACATTTTAAAGGAAGCCTTACCGCATATTTGAACTAACATCGCAGACAATTACTTGCTTGGGTTATTTAGAATGAAATTGGAGGAAATCGCGTACTTTGGCCGTTCAAGAGATGCAGTCCATCCATGGTCAAAAAACCGCTTCATTATTTTGAAACTCCGTCTTTGGTTCTGTTTGGTCCGAACGACTGGCTGATTTTGACATGGCGTTGTTGCCACTTTTTCATTAAATCCAGCGCCCAGTCGCCAAAACTTTCAACAATAGCGTTTCTAATTGTCGACGCTTATTCAAACTTTTGGGATGAGGAACGCTCATGAAGTTTGTTCCTTCCCATGTCTTACAGGAATTGATCCTGTATTG